TGGGCCAAAGGATCTGTTTCTGTGCTGTGTGACTCTAGGACTCCGTTGTCAACTCAGCCCAAGTTAACCACTAATTTGATGGGTTTTGTGCTCAAAATAATTGGTAGTGCTAGAAAGAAAACATACTCAGACAATTATCAGAAGGAAAGAGCATTTGTCAACAATGGTGGTACATTTTAATGGTGCAGCTGGATTAGATCGAAAGTGCGAGATGCGAGGGGATCCACACCAGATGAATATTAAAAGGAATGAAAGTGGCCCAGTTGTGAGTTTCAAATCTGAATTTAAAAATACATACACAAAGCTTAATTTTTGCTTCATTCCTTTGTGGGATGTTGCTGGCAAAGTCAGCATTTGTTGCTCTTCCCTAATTGTTTTCAAGAAGTCTAACGATGCATTGTTTCTAACACCATTTAGCAAAGACTGTGCTGGGTGGTTAGTGATGTTTAATTTGCAGTTTTGAATCCGGATCCTCACCTGAAATGTAATTGTTTTTCTTCATTCATTCGTGGGACTTGGGTATGATGGCCTGGGCCAGCATTTGTTGCCTAACTCTAACTGAACTGTCTCTTGCTTGACCATTTTCGAGGGCAGTTAAGAGTCGACTGCATTGCTGTGGGTCTGGAGTCACATGTAGGCCAGACAAGATATTTCCTTACCTAAAGGACATTAGGCTGCTTTGTTCCCTCCATAGATGTAATTGGACTCATATTTCCACCTTTTTACTGGCTTGTGTTTTTTATATGTACTTTACAAGCATGTCACGATTGAGTTGAAATGTTGCATTTATAATCTCACAACTGAGCAGTCTCTTTGTTAAATGCTTACACAAATTGTTTGGTTGCAGAAGATATTACAGGGGCCCTTTGATTACAATCATAAGGGGCCTTCATGCAATTTCCCCTGTTTAGCAAGTCAATAGTATTGTAACAGGGCTTGTATGACACATTGGTAGTGTGCTTTATCTCTGGGCTAGAAGATCTGGGTACAAGTCCAACGTGCTTCAGAGATCTGTCATAGCATCTGTGTAGGTTGATTGAAAATATCTAAAGTATGTATTGCAATGGTAACATCCCTGAAATAGTTGGGTAAAAATTGTACTAGTTTCAATTCAATTAAAAAATGTTAAATATTTCTTCTCAGTGAAAATGCTATTTTTTGTTTTACATTATGTCCTACTTCTGATTCATGTAGAACTACTTTTTATAATTTAGACTCAATGGACTGGATCTTTCTTCAATAATAACATAGCTATAATTTCTCAAGGACGTGTCAGCATTTAGTCCTCAACTCCATTGAAAAGGAAAATGTCTTGATTGTTGTAAGTTTTTGTCCAGATTAGCAGTTTTGACTGTCAAAGGGGTCTTGGTGCATTATGATATTCTTTTCTGGAACAGTGCACATACACTGTTACATCAGTTACATTAAGAGTATAAATGCAGTCAAATGGCTCTGCCTCGGTGGGGTTGGGTTGCTTTAACATTCTGCAGGGTCAAATCATCCTGTGAGATGGGTTTCAAAACGATAATTCCAAATAATATCGGAATGCCTTTTAGATTATTCCCATGAAGCAGATGTCTATGACAGAAGGAATCGTGACCAAAGTTTACTGGATAGCAAAGTCTGTTCTAAAGGAAATAGTATTAACAGCTGTTGGACAACACATTCTGTTCCTGTTGAAAATGGTGCTGACTTAGAATGTTAGTCAAGTAAAATCATATTGGTTCCAGTTATAGCCATGCATTTTTGTTTTAGCCTGAACGCTTACCAAGATAAGTACTGGATTAGGAACTGATACAGAATTTGACATTTATTAAATTTAATTTTGCTTGGTTAACCTTCTAGATGTCTTCTTTTTAAAAAGACCCAGGTCCAATGTAGACTATAAGTTAGTGCCTATACTTCGTGCAAATGAGTTGTGTCCAAGCAATGCACAGTTTGTAAAGAATATTCTCAAGGAGGAAAAAAATCTCCATCAAAAAATGTCAACGAATTGTGACTAAACTGTAAATGTGTAATCAGTCTTAATAGCCTGTACAGGAGAAATTCTTGATACATTTGTGGGGAAGGTAAATAACCACATAAAGGAAAGATACAATAGATTATTGACCTGATTATTAGATGACAGGTAACGGGAGGAAATTTGTGTGACCAGCAAGGACGAGTGGATTATCGGGTCTCTTTCTTTATTGTATGTAGTTCCAACCGTGAAATTATCTGAAACACTTCTTTTATAATGTATCTGCTGCACACTGACTTTTCATTACAAAAATAACAGTGGAATGTCCTGTTTATTAATGCGTAGCAGTGAAATCTTAATTCAGAACAAATTGGATTAGCCATTGTTGTGTGGTATTCCCCTTGCACAATGAACAAACATGAGTGTGATTTTGTTTCAAATCCAACCTGGTGTAATTTTCACACTGTGGTTAATAGGACTTGTCGTATGACCTTTCAAGAAGTGCTGTAATATTGATAATCTGATGGTAAACATGCACTGTAACAATTCGCTAGCCAGTTTCAGTTCCAAATATGGTTTCTTAATTGAGTCATGGAGGCAGTGTGGCAGAAATCAGAATCTGTTGCTAAATTTGTCTTCAGCTGCTGCACAGGAAAGACGTCATGTTTAACATTTGAATAATGTTTAGCCTGCAGAATATTAATGCAGTACATTAGAATCACCCAAATAATATAGACAAACTATAGTCATTTGTAAGAATGGGGTAGTTTTTTTAAAAGTCATATACTGTAGAATAAATGACAGATTGAATTTGACCATGCATCTTGTCAATTTGTAGAAATCTCATGTAAAGCTGAAGATGAATGTTAATACATTTTCTGGTCAGCTAAATCATTTGAGTTATGTATGAGGTCAATGAATGAGTGAATAATTGACTAAAAATATTTCAGAAAATGTGTTCAAATCAATGAAAATGCCAAGGTTAGAAGTCTTAAGGGTGCTCTTTGTTGGTATTTACTATCATAACAACAAACAGTGAACTATTTGGGGAAACGAGAAATCTGGATTCTTCCGTCTGAGTAACTGATTTTTTTTTCTGTCAATGCATTTCACCTAAAGGTACAGGCTCCTTAATGGCTTGATCTTTCAGAGGTGTTGGTGGCATTCTCCTCCAAGTTTTCTTTTACCTAAAGCATTCTTTTCAGTTCATCAGGAGGCTCTGAGTTGAGCCCCACCCCTGGACTTCAACACACCAGTGCAGTACTATGGGAGTGCCGTAATGTCAGAGATACCGTCATCTTGTTGCAATGTAACATTGCCTGTTGTGATGTTGTTTGAAGAACTGAATCTTGTTGATGCTTGGTCAACATTGCTCCCCTGATAAATACCACCAACAAATACACAAACCGATCATTTATCTTTTTTCTGCTTGTAGAGTATTTGCCACGTGCAAAATAAGTTGCTGAACCTGAATGTTAATTCATTGTCTGTTAAGCATTTTGAGGTATTGGAAAGATTTAACTGGCATTGCATAGTTAGAATTCTTTCTTAATGTATAAGCTTAATTCTGTCCATTAGAAAAATGTTCTGCTCCTGGTTTAATTTCCACTGCAGTTCCAATGACAGTAACTACTGGTTAACTATCAAAAGCAAAAACCTATATGTCGTATCTATCTTTCCTAAACTCTGAATTGCAAAGCCTATTTTATTAAGAATGAGAGAAATAGGAGGAGGAGGTAACCATTCAGCCTATTGAGTCTGTTCCACTACTCAACGGAACATGCCTAACCTTTGGTTTCAACTCCATATTTTCCCGTCTACTCTTCCTATCCTTTTCTGAAAGATCAGGAGCCACTTGCACAATTTTTTGTGGTAAAGAATTTCAAAAGTTCATACCCCTTTGAGTGAAGAAATCTCTCCTTGTCTCAGTGCTAACTGATTTAGCTCCGTACCTTGGCACTGTGCTGTCCTTATTCTAAATTTTCCAGCCAAGGGAAGCAGCATCTTGCTGGCTACCCTGTCAAGCCCTTCACAAAATGAATGAGATCATCTCTGATTCCTCTAAACTGCTTCCAGCGCAAGTCTACCCTTCCCTAAATATGGAGAACAAATTTGCACACAGTACCTAGTTGTGTTCTTGCCAAAGTCTAAAGTTAAAAGTTCAATAAAATGCATACAAGATTTTTTATAATGAATAGCATATAAATCGTTAACCAACATTAATGACACTTTTTCAGGTGGAAAAGCCTGTATGAAATAATTTTATTCTGTATTAGACATTGGTTGTGACTTGTCATCCTATCTCAGCCAATTTCTCTTCTCTCCTTCCCTCTTTCACTCTATTGCAGATGTAGGTTCCTTGCTCGGTTGTGACACGTTGAGCATTGGTCATCCCCTATTGCCTCTCTCCATCTACCACCTCCACCCCCCCAACCCCCCTTCTGTGGCTGTTTCTCGCGTTGGACTGGACAGTTGGTGTCTAGCTGCAGAGGAAATATTAATCAATATGATCCTGTTCTTTCCCCAACTCCCAATCTTTCTCACTATCCCAGAACTGGCAGAGCTGGGCCAATCTTAACACAACAGCCAGCCATACTGCTTTTCTGAGATCAACTTAAATAGCTTTAAATCGAATTGCATCATCCCTAATCTGTAACCTCGGTCTGAATTGAACTAGTACAAACTGTGGTCTTTCTACAAATAACAAGGCACGTACATTAATCGAACTCTTCTAAAAATTCACAAATTATTGATAACAAACTTGCCAGGCACGTGGATGATTGTCCACAATAGTTGTGGTTCTCAATGGTTATGGCCATTAATAGTTCAGAAAAACTAGTGACAGTAGGACTAAGAGGAGTACAATTAAGACAACATTTTCCAAATGTTTGGGCAGAAAATTCTGTAGAAGTCCAAATTCTGTAGCAGTAAAACTGAGCACACCCTAATTTAAACTGTTAAATATATAATACGCCTTACAAATACTAGAACAAAGATGAAGCTTTTTAAAATGTTGAAGTTTTTTCCGCTTGAATTTTAGAGTTTCGTGTGCTGATGTCGTAACTGTGTGTGTACAACAAACCGATATGCTACAGAGACCATCTGTAACTGCCACGTTTATTTCTGTAAGTACAGCTGTTTGTATCTATACTTTGCTTTCCAATTTGTTTGACCTGAGGTGTTTATTGTGCTGTGACAATGTGCTTGTATAGAAGCTAACTACATTTGTTTTGGGATAAATTTTACATGAGGAACCTCAAAGCTAGTTTCTGTCACTATTTGACATCCCAGTAATATTATGCTGAGGTCTTATTCTCCTGTCCACGTGGCATTTCAATAAATGACATTCGATAACTTACTCGTCAAACAGTCAGGTTCCCATTTGCTCATTTATCAACCATTCAGAAGTTCTTCTTGTGAAGCCTGAAGACCTATTCAATTAGAGCATAAGATGTGGGAGCGTAATTGGGCCATTTGGTCCACAGAGTCTATTCCACCATTCAGTCATGGCTGATGTGTTTCTCGAATCCATTTCCCTGTATCCTTTGATCCCCTACTAATCAAGAACCTAACCATATAAAAACCGGAAGAACTGCAGATGCTGTAAATCAGGAGCAAGAACAGAAGTTGCTAGAAAAGCTCAGCAGGTCTGGTAGCATCTGTGAAGAAAAAATCAGAGTTAACGTTTCGGGTCTAGTGACCCTTCCTCAAACTTAACTGACTCTGTCTTAAATACACTGTGAACTGGCCTCCACAGCCTTCTGTGGCAATGAGTTTCACAGAGTCTCCACCCTCTGGCTGAAGAAATTTCTCCTGATCTCAGTTCTAAAGAGTCATCCCTTCACTCTGAAGTTGTCCCTTTGGGTCCTAGTCTCTCCCACTAGTGGAAACATCTTTTCCATTCGATTGTATCCAGGCCTTGGTATTAAGTTTTAATGAGATCCTTCTAAACGCCACTGAGTCTTCAAATGCTCCGAATATAACAAGCCCTTCGTTCCTCGGGTCATTCTTGTAAATGTCCTCTGGACTCCCTCCAAGGTCATCGCACCTTTCCTTAGATATGGGGCCCAAAACTGCTCTCAATATTTCAAATGCAGTCTGTCCAGAGCCTCGTACAAACTTAGCAGTCTGATGCTATTTGTATTATTTGTTTTGGGATCTCATGGTCTAAACTTTTGGTCAATAAGTGTCAACATTTAATTATTGGTGACAAGTCCAGGCCAACATTTGATTCTTATGCTGTAATTGCAGGTCACTAAATGACACTGTTTTACAAGTCTCCCAGCTTCACCTCTTGATTTTTTTTTTATTTTGTTCCCTTTTTGATAACACATTTGAATATTCTTTTAGTCAATTTTTAAAGGAAATCAGGTTGCTTCTGCTATTCAATACTAATTTGGAGATGTGGTACATGAGCCAGCACCAGTGCATAACTTAAGTTGACATCTACCTATTTGCTGAAATTCCACAGCATTGGTATAAGTGGCCATCACTAAACCACGTTTTCACACCCACAACACCCTCCGTCATGCTCTGTGGCTGTGGCACTGCCACCATTAGCTTGAACAGATCTATCAGCTGAAATTGAGCATCCAGGATAACTTTGGCAGCTCACAGTTCCTATCTTATCCAAATCTTTAATCCTATAGCCTATTAGTGCTGTCGAGATTGGTGACCAAACCTGATTCAGTGAGAAGGGCAATCCAGGAAGATCGCCAACCTGATGTAGCTATAGCTGAGAACTGCATGTGTGCTAAACAGTAGAATCAATAAAAAGAAACAGAACGCTGGAGAAACTCGGCAGGCCTGGCATTAAAGTAGACAAGTGCAGCAAGCAATTAGGAAAGAAAATGGTACATTGGCCGTTTCAAATTCAGAAGCAGGCGTGTCTAACTGTAGTTGTATAGAGCCTTGGTGAGACTACACCTGGAATATCCTGTGCGTTTTTGGCCTCCTTACCTATAGAGAGGATATACTTGCCTTGGATGGAGTGCAGTAGAGGTTCACTGATACTGGGATGGTAGGACTGTCCTATGTGCAGAGATTGGTTTGACTGGGTCTGTATTCACTCGAGTTTAGGCACATGTGAGGGGATCTGATTCTAACAGGGCTGGACTAACTAGATGCAGGGAGATGTTTTCCCTGGTTGGGGAATTTAGAATGAGGGGACGTGGTCTTAGGATATGGGGTAGACCATTTAGGGTTGAGATGAGGACAATCCTCTTCACTCAGAAGGTAGTGAACCTGTGGAATTTTCTATTATAGAAAGCTGTGGAGGGCCAGTCACTAAATACATTCAAGAAAGAGGCTAATAATACTTCAGATTTTAATGGCATCAAACAGTATGCGGGCAAAGTGTTATTGAGATAGAGGATCAGCCATGATCACGTTGAATGGCGGAACAGGCTTGAAGGGCTGAATGGCCTACTCCTAGCCAGTTCAGTTGGTAGCAGTGTTGCTGAGCAGTGCTTTGTGGTGGATTTTGCAGTCCCCTACCTAAAGTGCATTTTATCTTGCTGTCCTCCATTCTCTCTCCAAGTGGTATTCAACATGGATGGGGTGGCAGTGGGGATTTCATGGGTTCTGGTGTCAATGTTGGCAGCTCATATGACAACTCTGTCCTAACTGTATACCACTGTGCTTCCATCTCCTGAGTCTGTCCTGCAAGTGGGATAGGTCAAAGCAAGGGATGGTGATAGTGGTGTCTAGGGCAGAATCATACTCATGGAATCATATCTTACAGCTGTAGGCTGTGGGACTGCTCTCCTAATTTTGGCACACGCTGGTACATCTCATTGAACAAAGCTTAATGACTGTAACAGTGAAACAATGGCACTGGCTAAATTGTTCTTGAACTGCAAAAATGCGGTGGAGGAGACAAATATAATCATTCTTTTCTAAAACATGAGAATAGAAAGGATTGAGTTTGTTCTGAATCCAATGGTTTTGTTGTAAGATGATTCCAGGGCAACTATTTGGGATGCCTACAACACAGCAAGGGAATTGCCTACTGCAACTCCCACATTAATTTGTGCTTGCGCTAAACTTTTAAATTGCAGTCAGACTTGAGAGGGTTACTAACAGTGGTTAGAGAAGGTTGTCAAAAACCTGCCAAAGGATGTTTGGGTGAGGCCATTTTTGGAGTACTGTGTACAGTTCTGTTTGCCCTGCTTAGGAAGATGTTCCAAAATCGGAGAGGGTTCAGAAAAGATTTACCAGGATGTTGCCAGGACTGGAGGGTTTACAGTTATGTGGAGAGGCTGGGACTTCTTTGACTGGAGTGTAGGAGGTTGAGGGGTGACCTTAAGGGTTTCTAAAATCATGAGGGGCATAGATAAGGTGAAATAGCAAAGGTATTTTCCCTCGGGTAGGGGAGTTCAAAACTGGGGCGTATATTTTTAAGGTGAGGAGAAAGATTTAAGAGGGACCTAAGGGGCAACCTTTTCACACAAAGGGTGGTGTATCTATGCAATGAATTGCCAGAGGAAGTGGTGGATGCAGGTACAGTAACAATATTTAAAAGACATTTGGTCAGGTACATGAATAGGAAAGGTTTAGTGGGATATGGGCCAAATGCAGGCAAGTGGGACTAGTTTAGTTTGGGAAACCCAATCGGCATGGGCTAGTTAGGTCGAGGGGTCTGTTTCCGTACTGTGGGAGTCTGAGCTCCCAGGTGGACTTTGCAGAGTCAGCTGAACAGTGTTTGCCATTGCTGTTTCTGGTGCCTGTATCACTGTCAGGTAGACCATCCACATTCATTGCTTTCTTTGGTCTTTGAAGTGGTTTGATACAGTTGAATGGGAGATGGTAAGAACTGCCGATGCTGGAGTCAGAGATAACATAGCGTGGAGCTGGAGGAACACAGCAGGCCAGGCAGCATCAGAGGAGCAGGAAAGTTGACATTTCGGGTCGGAACCCTTCTTGAGAAATTTTCTCCACACTGTGTTATATCTGATACAATTGAATAGCTTGCTAGGCCATTTCAGAGGGCAGGTATGTGTCAACCACATTGCTGTGGGTCTGGCATACTATACAGTAGTAATTTGAAAAATTGTCGTAAAATTTTGAAAAAAGAATTCCAGAGATCTGATGTTGCAAAACTGAAATTGAGTTTCTGCAAGCAATTGGCACACCTAGTGTGAGGCAAGAGACTGCACGATAAAGTGGGAGTTAATGTTTTGAGAACTGGGTTAATGAAAGCTAGCCTTAATCTCCAGAACAACTAGGGACGGGCAATAAATGCCGGTCCAACCAGTGACGCCCACATCCTACAAGTGAATAAAAACAAAATCACAGCAGAAGCTTGTAACTCGAGTGTATTGAGTAATGCCACGTGTTCCTTACATTGTGATGCAATTGATATCTGTCGCAAGGTAGGATGGCTGAGAAACAAGAGAATGGTACTTCACCATTCCTTAAAAGGAAGTTTTCTTTGTTGCTCAACTGCGTCTTGTTAACTGCTAAGATTACCGTCTTGTTAACTGCTAAGATTACCGTCTTGTTAACTGCTAAGATTACCGTCTTGTTACCTGGAAATCAGAGCTACAATGCTCACCTGTGATTCCACTGATTTTGTGGTCGTGGACTATTGGATACTTCCTTAATGCAAGTGGAATCATTAAAAACATACATTACAGAAAGAGGCTATTTGGCCCATTGTTTCTGTATTACCTCAAAGAAAGAATAGTAGCACCTAGTTTTACAGCCCTTTTTGTCCATTAACATTGGTCTGTTTCATATGTATCTGTCCAAAACCCATTTTTAAAATTATTTGTGGATTTGGCTTCCATCAACTTTTCAAGTAGAGGGTTCCTAATCCCAATATTTCCTAAATGGAAAAGTTCTCCTTGTCTAGGGGTTGTCTTACAAGGAAAATTTGTACAGGTTCAGCCTCTGTGAGAATGAGAGAGGAGTCTAAAACCCAGATCAGTTTTGGTATGTTAACTGCTTTTTTAATTTCATCTTAAGAGGGAGATATTAATGATACTTGGTAAGGAAGTGGTAAAGGCGGTCAGCATGAACGAGTTGGGCCAAAGGGCCTGTATTCTGTATTCCTCTGTGTTGAGTAGATGAGTTTTGAAGGCTCTACTTATCAAACTTTACCATCATAAATCAATGATATGGCATAACTTTGGTAGAATTGGTAATTGGATGGTTACAAACCTTGGAAGTTGAGGCCTAAGTGTGTTGTGAGTTGAGAGCTGTGTTTGCCAGTGACTGATCAGGGAGAAGGGAGTGTTGTTAGCTAACCATGTTTTTAGTTGAGTGTGGTATCTGACCTGATATGTTCACTTCCATCGTGGGGATGAGAATTTTTCTTTTATGTCAAAGGAAGTAACACAGTATTACTGCTTGTTTGTGGTAAAGAAATAAAACAAGGTACACCTGACTCTATGCAAATGGTTAACAGTGCAGCTGATGATCTAATGTTTCGACTTGAGGATAAGATTGCTCATGTTGATTCTTCAGCTGTGATGTTTAATTTTGCAGGAAGACTTTATTAACAAAGTCTCGTCATGTGTGAACTCTTCTCCCCTCTAGAGATGAGACTTCTAAGTGTTTGCCATTCCCCTGAGGCAGGTTTGTGATCAAACTTGACCATAGCAATTTATTTTTATTGTGAAGTTCACTCTATATTGACCAGGAAAACGTTGATTATGAATGCAGAATTTTTTTAAAAAAGTTCTGTTCCTTTTCATCATAGATATCATAGAATCCCTACAGTGTGGGAAGCAGGCCATTCGGCCCATCGAATCAGCCTATTCAGGGATGTTATGAAATACCTCTGGAGCAGATGGCACTTGAATCCAGATCTCCTGGCTCAGAGGTTGGAACACCGTGCCACAAGACACTCTCTGTTCTTTGTTCTTTTTTTTAAACTGGTATGAAGGTTGATGTTAGGTATCTGGACAGTTTAGCCTCTGGCCTCGAGCCGCCTTTGTGGCAGCCAATTTCTTTGGTTTAGCATAGAATCGTAGAAACCCTACAGTATAGAAGCAGAACATTCAGCCCATTGAGTCCATGCTGATCCTCCAAAGAGCATCCCACGCAGACCCACCCCTCTACCCTGTCCCTGTAACCGTGCATTTTCCATGGCTAATCCACCTAACCTACACACCCCTGGACACCGTGGGGAAATTTACCATGGCCAAACCCACACATCTTTGGACTGTGGGAGGAAACTAGAGCACCTGGAGGAAACCCACGCAGACACAGGGAGAACGTGCAAACTCCACACAGACAGTCGCCCAAGGCTGGAATCAAACCCGGGTCCCTGGCGTTGGGAGGCAACAGTGCTAACCACTGAGCCACCTTAGTGCCATTATTTTATCTGTCTGTTTGCCTGTCACCCTCCACTCTGAGTGTGGTCTACTCATGAAGGGTTTATTATTGTAGTGGTTTTCATCTCAGGTTTGCCTGTAATATAGCATCGTGCTTTAGTTGAGAAAATAAATGACTTCGCATTGAAACATGGAAAATTAGTGGGAAATGTGTGTATTTTTTGGAATGTACATACTTATTGAAGAATAAGACAACATGTCACTGCTATCATCAGTAATTGTACAAATGAATATTGAGATATAAATTGTGATCTGATGTTGCTTATTGTGAGTATCCCATGGTTTGTACTGTTGGTGTTGCCCTGGTAGTTATACCAACAGTCTACCATGTTATAGTCTTGCCTTTGGGTGTCTGCTTTTGGGCACCGAAGGAGGAATCAACCTTGAGACATTCTTTCTCATCATCCTCAAAATCTTTTCATTGGATTTGTGATCAGTTCATTTTTGCTGCAAGAATTGACAGACATTTGCAAAGGCAGTAAATGTGTAAAACCCCCAAGTTATTGGCCATCAAAGCACTTCTGTTTAAAATACAAGTTACGACTGACTGAAATTTTCACTTTAGTTAACAGATATAATAGTACTTACCAGACTTAAAGTTTTCGGTTATCTGTTACTTAGAAGATGGAGTCTTAATAAAGAATCTTTGCTATTTATGTATTTAAAATGAACGAGTTTCCAGTGGCCCAAGATTCAGCTTTGAAGAATAAAGCCAGCAGTGGGAAACTTGAGTTTGGGTCTCCTTCTAAAACTAAATTTCAATGTTTTGTCGCTTGTTATATTTGTGATATGATGTGTGTTTTAAAAGGCTCTTCTTACAAAATGGAACTACAAGCTTAAAATGGTAATTAAAGATTAACAGTGAAATGCCCAGTCAAATGTCATGATCATTTTGTTTTTCAGTTTCTTCTTAAACAGCATTCCTGATGCCAAGTTGAAGTGTATGGAGCAGCAGGAGCAGCGACGGAGTGTCACTGGAAGGGGACTGCTTTAGAGCTGCAGTTGAGAAACATGGGCCAGTGTGTCACCAAGTGCAGAAACCCCCCTTCATCTCTGGGCAGTAAAACTGGAGATAAAGAATCTGGGAGCAAATCACATGTTAAGAAAGCTGCCAGCCCTGGTGAAGAATTTAGCTCAATGTGTGCAAAGGCTTCTGGTGATATACTTGCCAATGGAACAAAGAAAACTGATGTAGTGGAATCAACCCAGCCCCAACTTGCTCACTCTGGAGACAGTAAAAAAGAAGAATCAATTTCATGTCGTGAGGAGTTCTCGCTTAAGCGAGCTGAAGAATTGTTTAGCAGGTATAAAGACGCTCATGAGGACGCAATCTTAGAGGAGGGCATGGAGTGGTTTTGCAATGACCTTTCTGTGGATCCTACTGAGTTCATAGTGTTGTTGTTAGCGTGGAAATTTCAAGCAGCTACTATGTGCAAGTTTACCAGGTAAGATGTTTGGATGTGTTTTTAAAGCAAGCACTACTGCAGTAAATGGCTGTGCTGGTGTCAGTGCAGACAGTATGAGCTGAAATGCTGTATTCACTGAGAGGTGGTTACATCAATCTGTCAACAATATGTAAGAGAGAGTGCGCGGAAGTGATTTGTCACAGCTTGGTTTGGTGAGCTGCTTTCTCAGCACTATCATTTTGGGGCTTTTCAAGCAAAATCAATGAAAATGCATGACAAGACACCATGAGAAAAATCACCGACCGTGTGATTGTTTGCTGTGTGAATCCATTGAAACTGGATGACTAGGGTTCAGTTGTGTTCCGCAAAATCCATCTCTCCATTTCCTGTCTCGCTTAATTATTAAAATTTGCAATGCTCAGTAAATCTGGTACAGTGGGGGACAGATAGCATTTTAAAAGCAGAACAGCATCTGCGTTCTAGTAGCATTTGGAAAGGCTATTATAAACGTGGACTATGTGTATCTTCAGGATGCTAGCTATACACAGTTAATGAGTGGAAACCACCAACCCGCTAGCTACGTTTCTTCTCTCAAAATTCTGGTGCAGTCCTGCTGGGCTCTTCCACCAGCTGTGGGCCGTGATCTGCTGCACGGGAGTCCTGCTGTTCCGTCTGTCCCCTGGGGAAAATGAGGGGGATCTGTTGAATTCGGCAGTGATCAACACGTGATAGGTTGGGAGGGGGAATCTGGTGTGTCTGGGCTGCAGTGTCTCCAGCTGGTGGCTGGGCTCTGAGGGAGTAGCTTCCCTGACACAGACTCCAGGCAGTGGTGTAGCGTGGGGAGCACTCTCCAGTCTGGAAAAAAGAGAGACTGTGACAAAGTGGGGCCATTTGTATTGAATGAGGTTTTAATACAGATCCTGTGATGCCGATGCTGAGCAGGATTTCTGGCGCTAATAACCGGTTACTTCAAACCGAAACAGCACTATGAGGAGTAAATAGGTCTCCCTTTAATTCTGTAGAGAAACTGTTTGCTTTGGTGGGAGAGTCTAGATCATAGGGTTATAACCTTCAAATTGTAGTGTGGCCAGTTTTGGGTGAATTCAGAAAGCACGACTTCTTGCAAAGGGTGTGGAAGTCAGTAACTGAGACACGGCTAGGTGTGGATTTTAAAACTTCAATTAATAAGAGCTTTGTTAACTAAGTGTGTTCAGAGCTATGGAACTACAATGAGCGATGGGCTTAAGATGAGTCCACATCAGCCATGGTCTAATTGAAGTGTCTGAATCACTGCAGAGACATTATCTAAGGACTTTCTTCAGACGCAATTTATCCCTCAATCAACCCATACTTTGCTGCATACTTAATTGCTTGTTTTGTGATCTTGTGCATGATTTTAGCTCACAGCAGTGACTGCATTTCAAAAGTTACTTCATTAGTGTGAAGGGTGCTATATAAGTTCTTTCTATCCTAACCTCATCATCTGAGTCTGCTGAACTTCATATACAGAAAGAATGGAATTTAAAGACATTCACCTCCATGGAACCCAGTAACATTTAAACCTTTGCATTGTCTTAGCTGTTCAGAAAGCGACAGAAGATACTTGAGGGGAAAAAAGGCTCAGTTCATTGAAATAGTCAGTTGTCCAGTGAAATCAGGTTCTGGATTAGACCACAGAAAATCCAACATTGTTCTTGCATAATTCACCAACTAATTTTGTTTCTGCTGTTTTCAGCACACAAGAATTTCAGAAATTAGTAAAAGTGAATTGCTGAGTTCTTACATTTTTTTGTTTCCTGTGTAGTAACACAGACTCCATCTGACTTTCCAATGCACAGATTTGAAAAAGATGTGCAAAAAATCTGAAATTGATAACTTTGGTATAAATCAGAAAGCTGTAGAAGGTCTGAGAGAGAAAAAGATGCTTGATTTGATGTAAACTATTCTACATGTGAACCTGATATTGACAAAATTTGCTGTTTGTTTAAAGTTTTAGCACAGATTTGTAGCTCGGGTTGTGGGTGAGGTTGTTGACTTGCTCGCTGAGCTGGCTTGTTCTTCTTCAGACGTTTCGTCACCTCTCTAGGTGACCTCATTTGTGGAGCCTCCAATGAAGCGATTTTGTTCTACTCCACTTGGAATTTATACTGTTTAGTCCGTTATGGTGAGTAGTGTCATTTCCACTTTTTGTTCTGTATGGGTTGAGAACCATGCCTCTAGGAATTCCCGTGTGTGTCTGCGTTTGGCTTGGGTTATTATAGTTACGTTGTCCCAGTTAAACTGATGGCCTTCGTTGTCCAAGAGTACTGATATTAAGGAGAGTTTGTCGTGTCGTTTTGCTGCAGCTGATGTTCATGTATTCTGATGGCTAGTTTCCTTCCTGTCTGTCTGATGTAATGTTTATGGCAGTCGTTGCATGGTATTTTGTAAACCACATTGGTTCTGCATGTTGTGGGAATGGGGTGTCCTTGTGAGTGTTTGTCGTAGAGTGCCTGTGGGCTTGCGTAGACATGCACAGGAATTCTTAGAGGCATGGTTCTCAACCCGTAATGCAATCAACAAACATATATAATTGGACCCCATATACAAACTCATACAGATCAAAAGTGGAAGTGACACTACTCACTATAACAGACCAGGCAGTAGAAATTCCAAGTGGAGTAGAACAACGTCGCTTCATTGGAGGCCTCAATGATGATGTTACATAGCATCGTGACAAAATATTTGAATGAAAACAAGCTAGGTGGGCGAGCAAGTCAACAACCTTGCTGTTTGTTTATTAGGCAAGTTGAACTTGCATGTGTTTTATAATGGATGCGAGCAAGCTCAAGTATTGACCAGCCAGAGGTTCATAGAACGTTTGTAGAATCCCTACAGTGTGGAAGTATGACCATTCAGCCCATCGAGTCCATACTGATCCTCTGAAGACTACCTCACCCAAACCAACCCTCTTTACCCAATCCTGTAACCCTGCATTTCTCGTGGCTATTCAACCTACCCTGCACATCTTTGGACTGTGGGAGGAAACTGGAGCACCTGGAGGAAACCCCCACAGACACAGGGAGAATGTGCAAACTCCACACAGACAGTCACCCAAGGCTGGAATCAAACCAGGTTCCCTGGCACTGTGAGGCAGCAGTGCTCACCACTGAGCCATCATACTGCCCTATTCACAACACTGAAACATTTTCATTTGCGTGGTCATTCATCAATACATAGAACATAGAACGTAGAACAGTACAGCACAATACAGGCCCTTCGGCCCACAATGTTGTGCTGACCTATTATCCTACTAAGATCAATCTACCCTGCATACCCTACATTTTACTATCCTCCGTGTGCCTATCCAAGAGTTGTTTAAAAGTCTCTAAAGCATCTGACGGTTAGGAGACTAATTCTGAAATTTATAATAATACAATAAAGTTAGAACCATTCTGTTAATGTAATTGTAATGGCAGTGTTAAATAAAAATATGTTGCTTATAATTTATTAAAAGGTAACTGCATCAGAAACTCTTGATTCACACACAGGCTTTTCATCTGTTTCAAGGCATTTTAATTAATCCATTTTCCTCCCTTTTTACCAAAGGAAAGAATTTGTCGAGGGATGCAAAGCATTAAATGCAGACAGTATTGATGGAATCCGTGCCAGGTTCCCAAGCCTTATGAATGAAGCCAAAGTTGAGGACAAGTTCAAGGATTTGTATCGATTTACGTTTCAGTTTGGGCTGGACTCTGAGGAAGGTCAGCGATCGTTACGGAGGGAAATAGCTGTTGCTCTTTGGAAACTGGTGTTCACACAAAACGTACCTTTCATATTGGACCAGTGGTTGAGCTTCTTAACTGAAAACCCACCCGGAATAAAGGGAATCTCTCGAGATACGTGGAATATGTTCTTAAATTTTATTCAGGTGATAGGTCCCGATCTTACAAACTACAGCGAAGATGAAGCCTGGCCAAGCCTGTTTGACACATTTGTAGAGTGGGAAATGGAGAGACGAAGAAAAGAAGGGCTGGCTGAAGAAGCATTACACTTAGTTACAGAGGCTGCAAATGTGGAAATGTTAGGACAAATCGCTACAGACTACCAAGTAACAGATGATGAGTAGTGAGCAATAACAGAAATGACAGCGTATGTAGTTTACTGCTCCTCACCACCCTCAATTGCCTTGTTGCTAAAAGGGCTACAAGATGCTGTAATAATTTATAGGCACTTTTTAAGCAATTGGGTAATACCTTTTTTAAAATGCTTGTTCACAAAAGTATGCAGTAATTCACTAGTTGCCCTAATAAAAGCAGCATCCGTTTCAGCCTTTGAATACTACTAGTGTGAAGTAGTTTGACATCGTTATTGCAGAGTTTTGTCTTTGCTTCTATAATTGTGGTGTTTTATGGAATTCCTTGGTTTAAAAAAAGGCAAATAGTGCCAGAGCTCATTTCGACAAAGTGAATGAGCGAGGTGGGGGGGTGCTGCTGTGTGTGATGCTGCTCGTAGCAGTGGAAACAGTATAAAATGAAAGACAGTATTAAACATTTACCAATTTACTGATCAAGAATTGGAGAGGTGTTGTGGCATTCAAAGTGCAAGACTCCTGCAGTTCTTCAAGCAGCCATGCAGTTTTTCAGTATATCGAGCTGGTAGCTGGGTTAGCACTGTGCTGTTGTATGTACGCTGTATACTGCGCAAGGTTTCGGGGTTTGCAGTACATGTACACAGATCACGTGTGCGCTCATCTCTGTAAAGTTTGTTTCCTTGTGTGTGCCTGATAAACACCTCGTTCTTTCAAAGTCCCCCCAGATAAAATCACAGTGATCTGGAATCTCTATCTAAAAAGCATTGTGTTTCAGCTTGTTAAGTTTACAATCCATTGTTACAATTGAGATAGTGCGACTGGTTTGCACACATGATGATATTCACCAAAACCAGTTCACTTTGGGGCACACAATGTGCATTTGTGTAGATTGCACCTGCAGGTACCATAAATGCCCCATTGATTATTTTATGCCTCAATCATGAACTCAGTCATGAGTTCAACGACGTACCTTTCTGAATAAAATCTTATCTGTGGCTGCCTTAGCATCTCACTGGAGGGAACATCATTGCTACCAGGGTATGTCAAGGTGGCTTGCTCACAAAGCTGATTGCACTATTTTCAGTCCTGGCACAGATTTAACACCGTGTATTCACGAAGCAATAGGCAGCAGGGCATAAAGGAATGGGATCAGTCCTGCAAATACTGTTGCCTTAACTAAAATCAACTGAAATGTGATTTATTTTTTCTTGAATTTATTACTGAACTACAGCTTTTTATTAATCTGAGGTTTGGCTTTTTTTCCTCCAGTGTCCATTGAAGTTTTGTGAAAATTCAAAAATGTCCATTTTACTGTATTTTTGTTACAAGAGAAATTTATAGTTGAGTGACATGTGGAAGTGTGCTTGTGACCCTACATGTCCTATTGCATTCTGCAACCTTTGGTGTGTTACATCTGTTGTGTATCTCTTACTGATTTTTACAAATGTATCAGACGACTGGTTTCTAGCTTAAAACAGGAGAAAAAAAGACTTTTTCTATTTTAATTTTGCTCTCCTTCAAAGTTATTCCAGGACTTTGGACCTTGTCTGACTGTCCTGTTTGGATAACAAAATCTTCTGTCCTTGGATTTTACACAGAATTGACTACCCTGAATTTTCTGTAGCAGGATTACAAATTTAATTCTTAAAACTCTGGTATATAATCTGTGCATTTAGCTTGTGCTACAATGTATATTTTATAGGATAAGTTTTGGTGCTTTCACTTCTGGGCTGCAGTTCTGTGGTCTGTGGGGTTGTTGTGAGTCTTGATGGTTTGTTTAGTTGTGTTGCCATACTTAAGATGCTTTCATTTCTCTTTCTGAAATTTCCTGTCCCACCCTTACATCACTTGTAGGTAATTTACTGAAATGAACAACGTTTTGCTAATGGTGTGTTTCTACCAATACACTGTCTTGTTACCATCAATTGTACATTTTATGTATTCAGATATTGTATAAATAATGGATTTATTTAAAGTTGAAATGCTTTGTATGTTTTACGTACTGATTATTTTCCAATTAAAAGAGTCAATTGCATTCTTAGCAACCTTTGTGTGTTTTTGTCAGTCTTAAAACAATTTTACAGTTGTTTTATCTTCACGTTTTGATGGAATGATGCAGGCTGGAATGTCAGAAGGTTCATGTTGATAGTCTATAGCTGTACTCCCTCCCCTCTTTCTCCCTGAATCAGCAGACTGAAGTGAAAATATCTTGCACAAGTAAAATACTCCTAGTTGCTGGAAGTTTGGAACAAAAACAGGAGAATGTGGAAAATACTGCACGGACTCCACTGGATAAGCTAAGTGAGAAGCAAAGTTTGTATTTTGTCAATGACTATTCATCAGAGCTGGGAAAAGTAAGATGTAATGAGTTTTGAGCACGTGAAAGAAAGGTGCGATGGAGTGGAGCAAAAGCAAAAGGGAGAGTCTGTAATAGGGTGGAGGGTAGATTTAAATGACAAACCTTCCCAAAATTAACTGTAATAACAGAAGTCGGCCATTTGGCCCATTGAGTCTACTCTGTCATTCAAGTGATCACTGCTGATGTGGTAATCTTCAACTTCACTTTCCTGGCTTTTCCCCATAACCTTTAATAGGGGCAAGTAACATTTGTGCCAGGCAACGTGCATCTCCAACAAGAGAATCTAACCATTTGTCCCTTCACATGTAATAATATAACTATCATTGAATTCCCCCACAATCGACATCCAGGAGAATTACCATTGACCAGATACTGGAATAAGTACTTTGGTTACAACAGCAAGTCAAATTCTAGGAATTCTGTAGCAAGTACACCAACTCCTGACTCCCCAGAGCCTGTCCACCAGCTTTCCACTTGACTGGATGGGTGCAGTTCAAACAGAAACTTAACACCATCTGGTGCACGCACACCTGTTTGACTGGCACCACATCCACATTTAGTTCGTCCACAATCAGTGCACACTGTTGCTACTGATCATTATCTAAAAGATGCACTGCAGAAATTCACCAAGGCTCCCTAGACAGCACCTACCAAACTCATGTTCCCATCTTGAAGGACAAGGACAGTAGGTACGTGCCTGTGCGTGAATAAAAAGAATTAATGACTCCTAATATTGAAGAATGGCACCAACCAGTGACAAAAATTGGACCTAGTGCAGTTATGGAATGTCCAGTGTTGTGAATGAAAGGAAGCAGTTAGTTGATTGATTTTTACGTACCTAGGTACCTGTTGCACACCTGTCTAGTAGTGACCAGATGAGCAGCTTTATTCAGGGTTGTCATCTGAGTGGCAGATGCAAAGTCTACCTTTGTAAGCACACCTGCAGCATACCCAGTGGCAGTCAGTAGGTTGCAACCTGAAACCTGATTCCGTGGGATTGGTTTAATAATGAAATAGAAGGCCACACTTCAATTGCGACAACCTCATCAAATATCTTTCAACTGTTAAGTAGGATTTTGGGAAGAAGTGGAGAAATGGCAGCCAGTCAATTGAGCTGTTTTGACATTTGCACCTTTGTTTTCCTTTCAACTTTGACTCGTTAATTCTTGTTATTCTGTACTGCCATTCTTAACAAATGTGCATTGTGCGTTGAAATGGCTCACAAAGCTTTGAACCAGCCAAAACAGCAAAGTCTGGATGGTAAGGCATGTCTTATTCATTCATGGGATGTGGACATAGTTAGCAAAGTTATTTATTGCCCTGGGAATGTGGTGATTGGCCACCTACTGAAATGGATTGGTTCACATTCATGTTATGAATCTCAATGTTGGACATTGAAGCTTTCCCAGCCAGAGTTCGTTATCCACCCTCCTCAGTTTGTTTCTTCCTTCCTTCACATTCAACGTCACTTGAAACTGTTGGGGGAAGAACAATGTGGAAATCAGCAGCAGGTTTCCTTTCCCAGGTTTGACCTGTTGCTGAAAGATTTAGTAGGGTCTAGAGTTGATGACGACTCTAAGCCACTTCCTTCTGGCTATATGCCCTGTGCTCAGATTGATATTGTCCTGCTTGTGGGACCCCACACATGCAGAAATGGTAATTGAGGAGTCCCAATATAGAATCTGAGGTTCAAATCTGTGGATATGACTAAGTGGTCTAGTTGCTGTATGCAAAACCTACGGAGCAGCTCTCCCTATTTTGGCACATTAGTAATGAGGATTTACTGGGCTTGTCTTTTTTTAATCTTGTCTGATGTCAACAGTGTGTCACCATTGTCAACAGCAGATTTATTAATTCAAATGTCCCACTGGTAGATTTAAACTCTTCTCTGGAAAGTTAGCCCAGGCCTCTGGATTACTAGATCAGAATCATGACCAACTATTGTTCCCATTTATTTGGGCCAGAAAGTATTACTTCTGCACCTTTCTATTACCCCTTTGGAAATGCAGCAGCCAAATTGTGTTTAACAAATGTTCATACAACTATAGTTAACAGCCAGATAATCTGTTTTAATGATGTTGATTGATTGTGATAAGTGTTGAACAAAGTGTCATTGTTTTTAAATTTACCTGAAAGAGAAGATTAAGGGCTTTCACATCTAATGCAAAAGATTGCACCTTTGATTCTATAGCATCCTGTCAGCACTTTCACTGAACAGTAAAACCTAAGCTTTGAGTGTTATGTCTGGTTTAGGCTATTAAGCCTGACCAGTGGTCTCCAATCTGTTTAAATTCAGACATTAATCTTAAATGAAACAGAAGATCTATCCCTAAGAAAATATGAAGTTTTTTTTTAATGCTATATAAATCAGAAACTGAGTATATATGCTTATTTATTTTATCCTCCATTCACCAACTCATAACATGACACCTACTGCACATTAGCTGCCAAAGGCGGAGTCGTTGTTTGAGTCTACAAGTTGTACACATCTATGAGGATGCAATGCTTGTATTTGATTACCTTTGTTTGGGAAAACAGTCTCACAAGAATGTAGAGCCAAGATAAGCTTTCACTTTAAAAGCACAGGGTGATCGAAAAGAGTACCCAAAAATCACTCCCATGATCTGATTTGTAGTCATTATCTCCATATCCACTGCTTTGTATCAAACACCTGATGGAATTTGATACATCTCCACGATTTGACTAACATGATTATTTGTTCCATCAATGCTAATTCTTGAAATTGCCTGTTCAATTAGTTTCTAACTTCCTCAGGTGTGTATACAAGTTTTCTGGGACATTTTTCTTTATCATGGTCTTTTCTCCAGACTTGAAGTGTTGGCAGTGATTTTTTTTTTTAAAACTGGGTGACCACAGTCCCAGTTTCAGTTTCAATCTGAATGCAGTCACTGCACTGACCATTTTATCATCATGGAATCCCTACAGTGTGGAAACAGGCCCTTTGGCCCAACAAATCCACACCAACCCTCAGAATCCCTCCCAGACCCATCCTCCTATAACCCACCTAATTTACACATCCCGCAACACTATGGGCAATTTTTCAAGACCAATCCACCTAGCCTGCACATTTTTGGACAGAGAGGAAACCGGAGCACCTGGAGGAAACCCATGCAGACACAGGGAGAACATGCAAACTCCCCACAGACAGTCACCCGAGGGTAGAATCACACCTGAGGCAGCAGTGCTAACCACTGAGCCACCGTGCTACCCTAAGTTGCCAAGTCTGTCCTTCCCTGCAGTTCACAGGTCAGATCATTCAGTTTTGATTTTAATGTTTGTAATGAACGCAAAGTTAAGCAATCTTACATTATTTGATAGCTCACTGCATGCTTTTTCTTAATCTTAAGAAACATGATAATTTCAGGCATCTGAACTCAATCTTTGCAGGACTTTTCCCTTGACTTCCCTATCTCACAGCAGCATGGAGGATTAGCTCACTGGAGGTAGCATTGAGGTAATCAAACAAGGAATCCAGTTGAAAGGCTCTTGCTTGAAACAAATTTACAATCTTAATTTTCATTACACAAGAAAATTTTGTAACTTACTAATGCTTGCTGGTGGATTATACTGTAGTAATTGACAAATGAGGGAAATCAGGATCATTTCTGAAAAACGCAACAAAACCTGTTACATTTAAAAGAAATTCATTTTCAGTTCTTTTTTTAGCTGGTCCAGCTTCATGCCTCAATTACTGCTTCACTCTGTGGTGTGAGACATCGTTCTGCCTTTGACATAACCAAAAAGTAGGCCTTTGAAACATCCAGAATATTATTGTCTGCTTTCACGTGTTGAGATACAGAAGATCTCTCTCTCTCTGGTTGCAATTTGTTTCAGGGGCCCCTGGTTGGCTTATGTCGCTCAGATGTTGGAGGTGGGGCATGACAGAGATCCTTGGAAATTTTTCTGTCCTGCATGGACCTTTAGATTAGGATCTGAAATCTGCAGCTCTACAAAGAATGGGGACAAGAGTGGAACTGGCTGAATTGGTGTTGCATCTACATGGACATGATGGGCTGAATAGCCTCCTGTGTTTCTCTGGAATATTTCATTTATTTGTTTGCATCACTACCACAAAAATGACTGTACCCTGCAATCATGGTCCATTAGGACCAAACTGAAATCCGGTTGTAACAAGCTGTCAAAGCCTGTAAGGAGCACGCTGTTTTTTCCAGCCATATAGCTTCCTGAACAGGATGTTGTAGCAACATGACGGATCAACCTGCATGTGGTAAGGGAACAGGAAGGTGCTGAGATCAACTCTCAGAAACTCTGCAATTGACTAATTGATCGCTAAGTAAAATGTGGGGGTAATCCATCCTACTCAAAGAGAAATTATCTAAGGCAGACCTGAGATTTGTACCAGAATGAAAAATCACAGGACATGAACATTTTATTGAAACACAGCAGTAATGCAAAATTGCTGAGATACATATCATCAGTAACTACAACATTGCTAATATTTACAAGGCTTTTGCAGATAAATGTACTCACACATATAAAAAATATGCATTACATATATACAAATGTGCAAAACAAATGGTATTTGAACATGATATGGAATTTCTCACAGGTGCAAATAGTTATTACAAAGGCATCATGGTTTGATATAGAAGAACAACACACATTACATTCTTCCTGGACCCCCAAATGCTTTACGAAATAATCTGTGGTAAAATGTACAAGATTTTGGAGTCTTGTCACCAAAAGAAATTGAGATGCCAAGACACACAAGGCCCTGAAAAGCATCTCCTACAAAATGTAAACTTGCCATTAATGTTGACTTTAAAAGGTGATCTACTGCGGAGGCATACTCATAACTTACTCAGGAATAAAACTAAATTTCTCTCTTTGGTAACCATTCGATTATCAAAAGTTTACATTCCAGGATCATAGGCAAATCTATACCCCTTGATTTCCCCAAACATACAATTCTGAAACCAACACAGTTACTTCGCAAAATATATACTTCATTCCATTTATCACGTGAAGGTTTATTTTTCATTATTGGCTTCCATTTGGCAAAAGTTATATTTCAATGCAGTTCAATGACTGAAACTGCCTTATTCACAAAAATCAACAATTAGCAACGAGAATCTAATCAGATTTCTACTGTTTTGGATTTATTGTTGGGTAGTCTAATTTAGAAATAGACAGTCTGCTCTTATTCTTCATTTTTACAAATAATTAAACACTCTACCTCTTTCAAACAAAGGGCCATTCATAACTCCAAAATAAACTGACTTTATGACCTTTTTAATGTCACTGAATTTGGGAAATTAATCCATCAACAACTAGAAAATATATTCTGGCACAAAAATATAAGATCCCTTCATATTTCTTTTTTAAAAAAAGAACTATTCTTTGAGTCTGTGGAAATTGCTGTCTTTTAGCAGGCAAAGGTAAATTTGTAAGTATTCTTGTGTAGTTACTGGCACCTACTGTAGATATCCAAATAAATGCTATCTATTCCGATGTGATGCGCCACATTTTTCCAGACCCATGGAAATGAATTTGGAGACAAGGGGAAAGTGTGCAAATGTCTAGGGAATTGTGTCAGGCTCGGTTTGTGACAGGTTTAGTCCCAAAAGTACTTTTCTCTATGTCCTTATTTTGAACAGCGGTTGGAATTGTCTGCACCTGGGACAGGAGCCTGTGAGTAGATACAAAGGAAATATTGAGATACAAAACATTTGGAGTATTTTATTAATTTGTCAGCAGGAAAACGGATCTCCTCAAGCAGAAAGCCTGATAATGAGCCAGATGATGGAAATGGATGTCTCCACTAATCTAGGCTGTTGCTGCAGCTCTACTGAGGAAGCACCCAAGGTGCTGCGCTGGTGTTCCTTTGGCTAAACACTGCTACAGAAAAAAAGTAAAACCTTTTTGTGCCTGACATCCTGCCAAAGTCACTTCTGGGTTCCTGACCCTCAATGGAGCCAATATCGGGATTATGAACCACTCGACAAAATTCACCCCAAACGTGTCCATCTATCAGCAAGGCTCCATACACTTTCTCAATGTGAAATTAATTTGCACTCTCCCAAGGTTGAAATAAACTTCCACGCAAGTTGGAAACTGAGAAAAATGAGAAAAGACTATCAGCTACCATAATACCTTGGTGCTGTTGGGTTTTTTTTGTAGCTGTTCCTATTTCTGAAATATTGGCTTTTGGCACATTGTTGACCTTAATTCTCAATGGCTGCGCAGAAATACACACAAAAGCCCATTATGTAATCAATGTTAATTTGATAAGACATTCTTGGAAACATTTGGCTTTCAGTCTGCTCTGTGATACTTTGTTTCACCAAAATTCCATCAAAAACCACAAAGTGGACTGTAATAAATATTCAACAATGGGCCTAATCAACAATCCTTCAGCGATCACCTCACTGCAAACAAATTGATTGGGCTCCGTCAGGGAATATCCATAGTTAAGTAACTTTAAAAGACAAATACATTCAAACTCCGAATGTGATTTTTTTTTTTAAAACTGGATTGCACCACATCTCAGAAGACCAAACTATCTCACATTATCTAAAATTAACCATCAGATTAAATCATTATTGACGGTAGATTGGAACAGCATAGCATCAATTAACCATTCATAGTCTGGTATGTGCTGATTCATCTGAAGATGAATGGCTTATAGATATCTGCACTGTAAAGGCAATGATTTCTGTTCAATTTATACATTCTTTGTACTAATGTATTAATTCACTTTTGTAAAATATAGACAATTCAATTTCCTTCTCAAAATGCTTAGCCCTGCTTGAATTTTAAAACTGCTGTCTTTCTTTGAATAAAAATCTTCACTTTCTGTACTTTAAACCCTTTGGTTGGTAAGCAAAATCATTCCCTTTAAAAAGGACACATCACATTTCATAATATTATATCACATTTCATCATTAAACTGTTTCTATTCATTAAGTGTTTGGTAAGTCCTTTTTTTGAGGAAGGAGCAGAACCAGGAAGCAGCTTGATCAGGGGATATCACAGCAGTAACATGAAGTGTTTCAATACCTTAAATTTGTAAACGACTGAACACAGCTCTTTTAACATTATTTTAAGAAATGACCCTTTAAAAGCTAGTATTTCAAACTCTGCGCTGGTACTTTGCAAATTATGAAAGAATATACATGTTAGCACTGTTGCATTCTCTCATAATTGGTGCAGTTTGGAACAGCCTCCAAAAATAATTAAATGGGCTCAGTTTTACATTTTAAAAAAATGCACAAGTTAAACCCTTTTTCCTGCTCAACTAAAGGATCAGATCTAAATTTAACAAAAAAAAAAAACAGGCATGGGAACATGTTTGGCATTGGAATAACTTATCTTGATCATTCTTCACTTTGAGGCTTGGTTTAACTGTTAGAGTGTCCAGCCTCTTGTCCATCTTTGTACAATGAAGGAGACAATCAAATACGAAAATTGACAGGCGGATTGTTAACAGACAATGTACTACAGGCTTATTAATCAGTACTGAAATGTACAGATTCCAAAAAAAAAGTTACTTGCCTGAAATAAGAGAAAAGCTTCTGGCTGACATTTGGTTCACACATGGTTTTTCAGAACTAACAGTGATCCAATTACATCCAAAATTTACCACAGGTTCTGAATCAGTGGTCATTATAAGCTGGATGGTTTTTGCCCTGGACCCGGGCAGTCACATCACTTTAGTGTAATAAAATGGATGAAAACATGGATGAAAAGAGCACTGAAACAAAACGTACAAAGTAGGAAATGATGAACTAGTCAAAAACATTTCTGCATTCGAAAGAATGGAATAGTTCACCCAGACTGATAAAAAGAAGTCACTGAACCAGCCAGTGTAATAAACTTCACAATACCATGCATTTTGGCTCAGGCCACCCTACGGGAAAGTCCGCTTCCATGAAGAAGAAATTCTCTTCAATTTCAATCTTCATTTCAACAGAACAGTAATTGCCACTGACACCGGATAAAACATTACATAAAAATACAAAGCCTCAAAATGGCCAGACTGTAGGATTGTCAGTTTGCCCTGAATCATCACATTTTGTCACTGCCCACTCTTCTATCTAGAGACAATAAAGTGGACTGGACCAGAGAATCTCAACTTGGCTTGTTTTGTTACTACATTAGAGTATTAACTATTACTAGACGACTGACACACAACACTAAGAGCATATAGATTTTGTTTGGCTGCCATCAGGAGCCTGGTTGTATTACTCCCAATGTAGCTGAAGATCATGACCATCCAGAAAATCAGTGGAAAACACACTAGGAGCAGCACTATTAATGGGAGTGAGTCCCGTAGTGGAAGCCGGCATCGTCAGATCCAGCCAATCCATATTGTCCAAATTAGTGTCTGGGAGGTCCAAGTTCAGGCAAGAATTTTCTGCATTGAAATGCATATCACATGTGTCCATGGCAGAATGTTGCTGGTCCAGAATGCTGGGTGTATTCAGTAGATCATTTGGAAGATCCTCCATTACAGGAAGAGAGTCTGAGCCCTCTTGGCTGACTGCCACTTGAGGAATATTGGCACCAGATGACAATGTGCCATCCAGAAAGGCCTCAAGTTGATTTTCTGAACCAATTGAGAGATCATTTGCTGATTCAAGGGATAGTGGAGGAGGTGCCATCTGAACTCGTGGTGGTGGTCGAGACAATGCCGCATTTACAGGTAAGGAAGAGATGTTGGCTACAACGGCTCTCATCTTGGTAGCAGGCAATGACTCTTCTTTTACAATGGGCGAAATCTCTATCATATAACAGAAGGTTGTAAAGTTAGTGTCATAAGGACTGCAATAATTTGATCAAATATTTTAATAATTTTACTCTTGAAGGTAATTGGGAAATAGCGAAATTGGACAGCGTCACAATATTTAAAAGTCAACTGAGTGACCTTGGTCCACGCTTTCATTGACAGATCAGTTTCCTTAGTATCTTTTCCACACTTGTTTGAATTTAGTGCATTAGGAAGCTGCAAAATATTAAAACATGTAGCTCTTTCATGGCATGTGTAGCCTACCCTATACTTCAGATATTTCAGGCACAACATCTTACAGATCCAGTTACAACTCAGAAATCACCCGTTCTCTTAAATTCCACATCTGGTTATGGAGAGGATGACAATATGATTGTTTAGTAAACAGTGGAACAACTGCAAAGAGTTAAGATCATATTAAGGCACGTAATCTTGTCTTCCACAAAACAAAACATGCTAGTGTACCACTGCTGAAGAAAAGAAATGTTTTGTTGAGGCTTTTCATCTTGCATGTATCAGGCCAATATGCAAGAAATATCAACGTGAAGGGGTAACAACATTTATACTTTATGAGAGGAGAGTGCTGATTGATTGGCAAGTGGAGTTCGATTGTAGAATGCACCAGTTAGACGATGACCAACAGTAACTGCCAAGGTTTGTTTAAATGTGAAACCAGGCAGGTTGATTCTAATTTGTCAAGGCATTGCACTGAGAAATGAACCAGAGAATGGCTGTCACCTATTTTGTTGAGTTGAGACAGACAGTGCTTGTACATGTTCTTTCTGTTTGCAAAGTACAGGGCTCTGTACTAATATGCAGAGCTTCCAGAAGGTGCAAGCATACCATACGCGAGATCAACAGACAATCCTACGTTAATTGTCAGTGTAATCCTGTGCACACTCAGGATTGATGTGAAGGTGCCGGTGTTGGACTGGGATGGACAAGGTCAGAAGTCACACAACACCAGGTTATAGTCCAACAGGTTTATTTGAAATCACAGGCTTTCGGAGCACTGCTCTTTCATCATGTGGCGAAGGAGCAACACTCGAAAGCCTGTGATTTCAAATAAACCTGTTGGACTATAACCTGGTACCGTGTGGTGTCTGACCTTGTCTACTCAGGATTACTTAGCAAATGCCATCCAATCATGGAATCACATTTAATACTGAACACCATTGAGTTTTGTAAGCACAGGCTGGTTGGGTATCATTAGGACCTTGCTCGTTGTTAAGTGCCGAAACAGATATCATTTTCCAGCGACATTCAGGTTCTGCACTATCAAATGGCTATTAATGTAATAGTTAAACTGACTGTGCCAATATGGTTAATTTAGCTTACCTCCACTCTCAATTAGGATATCAAAAAGATCATCCATCTGCTGGCTGTGTGCATTGAAGACCTGCACAAAAATTCAACTTTAGCTTACCAAAAAAAAAAGCAACATACAGTCATCGCATTCTCAGTTACTGCACATTGTCACTGCGTATTACCTTTCAGATTTGCAATGATTAGAAGAATAGGGATATAAATTTGGATCAAGCAAGACAACAAATAAAGAGCAAGAAAGACCTCTGAGCTCATCCATGTGAAAAAAATATTGACTTCCCTCATCATAGCACGAAAAGCTTCTGACATAATTCAAAGTTTTGGTATTAAAGTATCAAGGGATTTGGGGAGAAAGTGGGAAAATGACAGATGAGCCATGAACAAACTGAATGACAGAGCCGATGAAAGGGGCCGAATGGTTAACTACTGCTTCTAGTTCTGTTTCTGTCCCTAACTGTCACACTCAGACTTCCAAACCATATGTTGACTGCTCTGAGTGAGAAGAGCTTCTCAAATTTGCCTTTCAACAGTGTGAGGTCTTCACCAGCAATGACCCAGCTCATGGCCCTATTTGTAATAGGTCAGCTACTCAATATTGGGTGAGTATCAGGCCTCCAGTTTATCATGTCAGCCTTGTTTCCAACCTTGTGGCTTCCTTTTCAATGGATGTACGTATAGGAGGTAGGGACAATGCAAACAGCATTTAAATTTATTAGACTGTGAACCCATTCCCCTCTACCTAATTGGCTGCATTATTTCTAGTATCCCACAAATCACTGGATAAACCACAGTTTCTTCAATATTTATTAGCTTAAAAGCATCCAACTCATTCCTGCATTGTGCTTACCTCCTGCTGTTTTAAACTGCGGGTCTGCTTGACTGCTTCCTCATATCGAGGGAGTTCTTTTCCCTTTGAAACAGAGTTACTAAAGACTTGGTGTTGGATTACTAACTGTTGTTGAGACGGAGGTGGAGAAGATGGTCCAGACTGTGGAGGTATGGATAATACAATATTGGTTATTCAACTTAGGAAGAAGTCATTAGGAATAAATATTTCTCAATAGCATTTTTCTGCTATTTGTTTGTTAATGCAGCATAAATGGAAATACGATATTTTCATAAAAGAACATTCAGCTAAAAGAAAACTATTTATTGCATGATATTTCAATACTATAACCTTATGGAAGGTAAAACTGGAGCATGTATTAGCAGCTAAAAAAATTAACAATACAGTGCAACAAAACTGTCAACATCCTCAGAGTTAACTGGATTATATTTTTAATTCATGTACTGGGCTATATTTCTCGTTTATTGACAATAAAAGTTACTTGAGCCTTTGAGCTTTCAAAATATTGTGCATACTTTCCAACATATTAAAAATAAATGAACATGCAATTCCATAGGTAGAGGATGAGCAATGAGAAACAACACACAAATAGGCAAAATGAATATTGGGAAAAGACCATTTGGCCTGTCTTGCCCAAACATGGAGCAATACTGTACGGTATTAATCCTCACCACGTACAGAGTTACAGAGACTCCAAAGCACAGTCAAAGGCAATGTGACCGAACTTGCCTCTGCCAATGTTTATACACTATACAATCTTTTCTCTCTAACTACCTCTTCGTACCCACCTCAAATTCTCAATCTCAGCATCTGCTAGAAATCAGAAAGGAAAATCTGAAGCCTCTTACAGGGGAGAAGAAAATTCCTTGCTGGTCCTTGGAGGAATTGAACAAAGGACCAGCAGACTGTGCAAGCCTGTTAATTCATCCCATCAAGGCAGTTTACTCTCGCTAACTAGAAATATTCTCCTTTCTGCAGGACCTTGTCCATCTCACTTAAAGGGTGTAGGAAATCAATGCCCATCACAGAATTTAATAACCTGTGCCAAGAGCAACAATCCCTTGAGTGTGAAGGGTTCCATCTCTTCAGACCACACTAGCATGAGTTTACTTGGACCATCACAGTACTAAGACAGTATAGTTTTAACCTATAAAAGCTCTTTAAATGCAGCTTATAGTTCTTTTCCAAATCATTCCGAACAGCAAGGCCCAGCATAAGCTCTGGTGGGAGAGGAGGCAGAATTCAGAGAATCCCTGCTGGATTTTAGGACCCATTTACACCGTGAGCACCAACTCTTTCAAGTTGCAATACTGCTGAACAGAAACAGACTGTTCTGCCCATCAAATCTTTAGTAATGCTTTTCTCCACAAACACTGCTCTCATTTCCTTTTCTTATTGATCCCGTCTCATTTCAAGCAACTAGCCAACTCCCATTTAAAATAATTTGTTTAAAACAATGGCTGGAGGCAGGGCTTCCATTTTAACCCTCATCTGCTTAAAGACGCTGATCTCAAACTGCATGAAACTTGGGACCACAGGATCTGCAATAGGCCATTCAGCCCAAGCCTGTTCCATTATTCAGCTAGATCACAGCTGATCTGCTGTTTTAACAGCATTGCCCCAAATCCCCTGCTGTCTTTAATAACAAGAAATCTATTGCTGTTTGTTTGGAACACACTCAATGAATGAGTGTCCACAGCTTTCCATGGTAGAGAATGCCAAAGATTCATTCCCTCCGCCCACTCCCGAGTGAAAAAAATCCTCCTCACCTCAGTCCTAAATGATCTACCTTTTTTTATTCTGAGACTGTGTCACCTGGTTCTAGATCATCCCAGCCAGGGGGACATAGCCTTCCTGCATCAACTTTGTTGGTTCATCCAAGAACATTGTCTGCTTCAATGAGATTTCTTTTCATTGTTTTAAACTTAAGAGAATACAGACTCAGTCTCCTCAATCAACACCCACTAGACAATCCCACCATCTCAGGAATCAGTCTGCTGAATTTCCACTGCACTTCCTCCATGGCAAGTACATTGTTCCTTTAGTCAAGGAGACAAAAACTGTACACAATACTCTGTATATAGTCTCACCTGTACATTTGGCAAAAGATATATTTACTCCTATATTCAAATCATCTTGCAATCAAGACCAACATACCATACCTTCCCAATTGCTTGTTCCACCTGCATTTTGCTTTTGATGATTCACCCAGATCTCTTTGAACATCAACACTTCCCAACCTCTCACCATTTAAGAATACTCTGCATTCATATTTTTCCCATTATATTCCAGCTATTATGGGCTTGCCTACTCACCTGATCTATCTAAATCCCTTTGAAACTTTCATGGAACCTCCTTTCAATCCACATTCCCACCTAGTTTTGTGTCATCAGTAGACTTGGAAATCATATTTGATCCCAACACCCAATTCACTGACAGATTCTGAACAGCTGGGGTACAAGCACTCATCCTGTAATGCATTCTTGATGTAATTGATTTGTTTTTCCAAGTTCTTAGCAGCTTTGTCCCTTGTTATTGGTACACAGGAAGTACCAGATAGAAAGAGGGGTTGGGTTCATTCTGCTAGTCTAGTAATTAATCGATATAACAATTATGGAATTGTTACTAATTATTGACAAACAAACAATCAATTAGTCTGCCACAGACCTAAAGAAGAGTTGAATGAAACCTGCTAGTGTAGAAAATTTTCAAAACCGGAAGGTCCAACATCATCTGTTCCTGCCGAGCATTCTAAACCTCTCATAGCTTATTCCTCAAATTACTAATACGCTGTATCCCAAACTATCATTGCCCATGTGAAAGTTCAAAATATCATAATGTATCAAGAAATGTAATGACTTTTAGTTAGTGCAATGACAACACATCTACAGTATCTATGACAATCCTGCAGAAATTCAGAAAAGTTGAAATATTACTGACTCAGGCTATGGCTTGTGCTGCAAACTGAAAGGCAGCAATTAAAATGTGACAACATCAAACCTGAGAAAAGTTGTAACTGAAGTTTTAAGATTTCCTTATACTGCCAAGGAACAGCAAACAGTAAAGAGAAGGAACTTAGACTTTCAAATTGATCAAAACTCCTACAGGTAGAAAGAGACTGGAAGAAGTCACCAATAGGTTTTGTTTGAAGCTGAGCGGGGAGCAGTAAAAGGTTACATGAAAGCGTTTACGAGGTTGGTGCTGGAGGTTATCTTGCCTAGACGTGAAGACTAATAAAGTACATTAATAATAACAACATATGCATCCCTCCTTTGATGTAACTGATAAATATCGAAAAGTGGAGAACCATGAATATAATATAAAAATCTGCCATTGCTTTCTCTGACAAAAGGATGCCAAATAAGATTTGCAATTACCTTGTGTACACAGTTGGGTCCATTCAGTGGAGTATTAACATTGCTTATTCTTGGATGATGCACGTTCCCTGTTGAACTGTTAATGAAACATTGCTGCACTGTTGCTGCTGTTTGAATGTGATTTGGAAATACATTCGCTGTTGATGTGGATGTAAAAACCTGTGGATTTACAAGCCTCTATAAATTTTTTGATTAGTGTCAGAAAATTACATCCTCAACCCAGTGTATCAAAAATGCTGAGCAGAATAAACAATGTTTATCTTCATAAAAGAGATGTAGAATATTTAAAGTTGTACATAACTCTATCAAAGGCTACACCACACTTCTGAAAGGAGACTCATTTACAAAAAGAACAAAGCATCACAACCACAGAAGAAATGGCTTTGGCAGCTTGACTCTTGTGTAAAATGCCACAAGGGGTCATAGCATATGCTCTGTACAATAAACTGGGCAAAGTAGAAGAGACATTCAACCTGGCATATGGAGGAAAGAAAGATGGTGTCTGACCAATCTTTGATATTTTTTAAATAAGTTATTACCTGGTGTGCATCAATAGCCTGACAAACATAGATGGATTTTCTGAACATTTTTGATAAGGTGCCACACATAGATTGCTCTATGATAGAACTTGAGAATGTTAGATTGGATTAAGAACTGACTGCACTCCTTTAAGAAGAAGTGATTATTAATTGCTGTGGATCTGTGTGAATGCTGGCTACAGGTGGTGTCCCATAAGATTGGGATTAGGGCTGTTACTTTTATGATCGTCATAACGATCTACCTTCTATTTTTCAAGGAGGGTGGCAGAAATAAACCAGGGAATTATAGCCCAGTGATTTTCACATTAGTGGTAGGGAAAATATTGAAAAAAATTCTGTAGGAGGGAATTAGTCTCCACCACGAGAAGCAATGTTTGATCAGGAATAGTCAGCTTGGTCTTGTCAGAGGGAGGACCATTTGATTGAATTTTTCACGAACGTTGATCAGGTGAATTCCAACAAAATCTTTGACAAGGTTCCACATGCAAAACTAATAAAGAAGATAAAAGTACCTGGGATCCAAGGTAACTTGGGAAGTTGGATCCAAAAGTGGCTTAGCAGTACGAGGCAGAGGCTGGTAGCAGAAGACTGTTGGCACGATTGAAATCCAGTGGCATACCAACCCCTTCAGTGCAATCACATCCTTCCTATAGAAGTCAAGCTATCAAAGCCATTTCTTCTGTGGTTGTGGTGATTTGCCTTTTTTAAAAATGAATCTCCTTCCAGGAGTGTGGTGTAGCCCCTGATGGATTAGGTACAACTTAAAATATTCCAGATCTCCTTTATGAAAATAAGTAATGTTTATTCTGCACTGCATTTTTATGAGTTAATGCTCTAGGGACATAGGTTCAAATCCCACCAAGGCAGATGGCAAAATTTGAATTCAATACAAATCTGGAGTATAAAACTAGCCCGATGCTGGCTGCCCATTCGCCAATGATGACCACAGTTGATTGTTGAAAAAACCCATTTGATTCACTAATGTCCCAAAGGGAAGGAATTCTGCCACCCTTACTGATCTGACCTACCAGGGATACTCCAGATCCAAAGCAATATGGTTGATTCTTAATTGTCCTCCAGGTAATTGGAAATGGGCAATAAATGCAGTTCTAACCAGTAATGCCCATATCCCATGAACGAATAGAATAGAATCAGAATAGAATATCAAGAGATTGTTGTTTTTCATAGAGGTTATTTCACTGATAGCTATAACCCTAACTCTGCTTGCATAATTAGTGTGGATCTTTCAAAACAATTTTTCTGGGCATAAATTACAAAAGGTAGGTGTGACGTAAAGTAACATAAATTGTAAATAATCTTGCTTCACTATGTCGGAGTTTTTCTCCTCCATGAATTGGCCGGTTTTTGTCTGTTTCTTCTAATGTCCCCAGGACATTCTGTGACTGCTCAGAGTGCAGCATTTTAGGAATCCCGCTATTCAAGGCATCATAACCGGGAGGTGGACAATAAGGCGGCCACCTGGTCTACTCCAATCCTCCATTTTTCTAAAGCAAAAAATATTCTTACATACGGATCGCAATCTAGAATTAACTCAAGGAATCTTCAAGAATGTAAAACAATAGTGGGTCAATTCAGGCTTGACTGCAAACAGTGGGATAATTTCCTGTGGAGAATGGAGACACACAGATGAATGCATGGATATCCAAACCAGGGCTGATGAGTCTTTGAAGGTTAAGCTAATAATTACAGTACCTTATCTGGGAAAATGCAGATTTATTAAATAAATACTAAACTAAGTTAGGTTTTGATGTTTCATTATGTGCAATTTACTCCAACTCTTCCCAAAAATCAGATGGCTGGCTTGACTCTGGTACACAGAACAACGGCATTCTTATTGACAGTACAAACCTTTGTAATCTGTGGGTTCTGGGACAAATTATGTTGGGACACAGGTTCTGGTGGTTGTGGCTGTTTCTGGGAGCCTGAAGTTTGGACTGGAGCAGAAGTTGGGACAGCTATTGGTATCTGCACCTGGGCTTGTGAATGAGACTGCAAAAGATATATTGAAAAACAGATCAGTGCAAATTATCTTATATATAGAAGAAATATGTTTTCAGCCATTTCTTAATGAAACGATGTGACCGCAGCAACAGGCTCTGGCACATTGGGAATTTAGGATTTGAACTTTCTGAAAATATGGAGTACTAATGTACCTGGAATTTTCTTTTTCCTATAACTGGAGCTTTAATTCAGAATTTAAATTGATAATATATGTCCTTATATGACTACTGAAAACAAATGACTCCACTTTACATTATGTGATTCTGTTCTTTTACAGCTAATTGGTTATCATCATTCATTGTCCTACAAGTTTGCCAGAATAGTAGGACACGAAACATCAAACCCCCAGAAAATAAAAATCAAATTTAGTAACTCTATACCTGTAATTTAACATTTCCTGCATGTAAATGCTTTGACTCGCTGGAAGGGTTTGCATTCTGTGCTTGGATGGCCAATGGCAGCAAAAGCTGGGTTCCAGTCTGAGTGGTCAATAAAGCGTGAGGCTGAGCCTGGGCAATAACTGTGGTCGGCGTTTGCCTTGGTGGGTTTACATAAAACTGAGAGACTGCATTCTGTTGCCCTGCTGTTGCCAGTGAGCCTTCTTGCTTCATAAGCAAACCATTTTGCTTCATTGCATTCTGGCTGCATGTGCCAAGATTGGTGATGGCTGATGGACCCAAAGGTTGTTTGGGTGCTGATGCAGGCTGTCTTGAAATAGAACAGTTGGAGAGATTGTGTTCCTCTTTGACATGAGTTTCCAATTGCTTCTGGTTCACAGTCACAGATTGTTGGTGCTGACATCGTTTCTCAATCTCCAATTGAATCTTCAGTTCTTCCACCAACTTTTGTTCCTGCTCAAGTTTTCTCTTTAGGTCAATGATTTGCCTCTCTTTTTCCTGCAGTTTTCGGTCCTTTTCAGCAGCATCAGCATCTAAACTTGCCAAGCTAGCACCTTGAGGATTAGAATTGTTTGTTGCCACATTCACCCCTGTGCTATCTTCATTAACAGCCGTATTCACAGGGGAAGCATGAATTGAGAGCTGCGAAGGAGACACCATGGTCACCAGCTCAGTAAACATATCTGTAAGTTTGCTGTCATCGGTGCTGATGTTAGACTGCTCCGAGGGAGCTGGAGAGGTAGGAGACGGAGAGGCTGCATTTTCATAGAATTGGAGGTTGCATGATGCTGTTGTTACGGTTGCTTCTGTGGTGGTCGTGACATTACTAAGAGCAGCGATAGGAAATGCTGCCGTCAACTGATTTCTTGCAATAGCAGAGTTGGAGGCCGTTGCTACAGCAGCACTACTCAAGTCTTGGTATGATTTCAACCTCTCTATAAGGTCCATTTTAGTACCAGAGACTGGGAGACCTCGCAACTTCAGTTCCAGCTTCAGTTCTGCAACCTAAACAATATAAAACAAGAACAACTGGTTAAATAGATTATCATGATTAAAAAACAGTTTAAAATAATGCTACATTAGTTTTGACGGATGTTCTCAGGCTCCCAGTTTATTCCGATACATGAATAAATAAGAAAGATCAGGACAGTTTTGTCATCCATCTTGCCAGCTCTAGTAGAAAGTTGCACCAAAATTATCCTTTGTTGCAGTGAGGGTACTTTTGTACACTGACAAAACCATAGAAAATTCAATTTTATTCTTTACTGCTACAAATTGGCTCATCATTCTCAGATCAGTAACTTGACAAATGACTTAATGGAAAAAGGTAGCGGACATATTTAGAAAACTAATAAGTACGCATCATATACACAATATGAAAAACATGGGACACCAATTCATTGAAAAATAGGTACACCATTTCAAATCTTATGCTAGCGAATTTCCCACCATTTCTCTTTACTCGCTTAGAACGCTGTGTTTTTTTTTCAATAATAAGAAAGCAAAGTAGTGTACTGCAGATGCTGGAAGCCTGAAATAAAAACAAAAAGTTGGAAACACTCAGCAGATCTGACAGCATCTGTAGAAAGAAAGAGAAAACGAGAGTTAACCCTTCAGGCTGATGTGACCCAGATGCTGTCAGGTCTTCTGAATGCTCCCAGCATTTTCTATTATTATTTCATGATTTTTCCCTTACACATCATTTCACAAATCTGCCTGTTCATTCTGGGACTAGTACAAGTACAGAGCTAATTTTATCCCCATTTTAACAATAGCTTGGCGCGGCAATACTATCACGCATATATCCATCTAAAATCACAGGTGTTCAATCAGAAAACATTGTTTACAGATTAAAACAAACACAAATCTGTCACACAAAAGGAGGCTGAGCTGATGAATCATTGAGAGAATGATGATCAGTAAACAGATACATTAATAAGTTCACGAGATAGTTACAGTCTGGTCTTTCCGAGTTTTTCTATTGATAAGATTTTGAGAGTCCAAGTGTGTTTCACAAGTCACTCCACTGAATGGTCCTAGTTTCTTATAAAAATAAGAGTTGACTCACGTTTCTCTACATTTACTTTGTACAATTAGATAACCCTGAGATGAAACTGGATACTCATGTCTTACAGAAACGTAGAATGGTAAAAGCACAAAAGGAGGCCATTACACCCACAATGTATGTGCTGGTCCACTGTGAGAGCAGCTCAGCCTTTTCCCATGTCCTGTAATTATTTTCTCTTCAGAAATGTATCATAGTTAGTTGTTCCTTTTGGTATTCCCCTTAAATCACTATCTTCTAGTTTTTGATCCTTTTGCCAGTAGGAACAGTTTATATCTATTTTGGTTTTGTAAACCTCTAACAAGCCTCCTCTTTAAGCAGAACAGCTCCAGCAACCCCAATCTGACCACATAACTGCTGCCCCTCATCCACAGAACCATTCTCGTAAATTGTTTCTGCACTCTCTGTAAAGCATTCACAATCGTTCTGAAAGGCCCCCAGAACTGGACATAATACTCTGGGTGAGCCTGGGCCAACATTTTCCTAAAGATTCATCACAACTTCCTTGCTTTGCCCTACTTGTGAAGCACAGAATTCTGCAAGCTTTATGAACCACTTCCCCAACCTGCCCTACCAACTTCAACGACCCCTGCAAATTTACCCCAAAGTGCCACTGCTTCCGCACGTCCATTAGAATTGTATCCTTATATTGTCTCTCCTCATTCTTCCTGCACCAAGGTTTACTTCACACTTCTTTGAATTAAATTTCAAGTGTTAGGTAATTCTACCATTTTCACCAGCCTGTCTTATGATGTCTTGATGTCTATCACTTCTTCTCAGGTCACAACACTTTCAACTGCATCATGTGCAAACTTTGAAATTGTGCCCTACACACCTGTGTTTAGGTCATGAACATAGATCAAGAAAAGCAGTACTCTGAACACTGGCTACCGAAATACGCTTTGTTTCAATTCAAGAAATGACTGTTCATCATTACACCTTGTTTCTTGCCCCAGTTTCCATGCTTACTTCCCTCGGTATTCTTGGAAGCATCCCACCTGGTCCTGCTGACTTATCAACCTTAAAAGGTACAGCCAGCCTATCCAATACTTCCTCTATCAGTTTTGAATCCATCCAGAGTCTCAACAACTTTCTCTTTCACCAATACTTGGCAGCAGCTTCTTCCTTAGAAAGGACAAATGCAAAGTACTCACTTGGTACCTCAGGCCTCTGTCTCCATGCGTAAATCCCATCCTACTCTTTGTCTCGTTATACGAGGAGCTCTGGTTGTGTTTGTTCTATTGTTCCCCTCTTCTGAGAAAGTATTTCAATTGTACCTATTCATCTTCCCTTTAAAGGCAGCCCAGTGTTCCATCTTTCAGACATTTTTTTTTTCATTTCTCTGTAGCTCAGTGCACTATCAATCAGATGCGTGGCTTTATAGAAGTCATTTCTCACAACCCCGATGGGAGGAGTACACGAGTAATCGAGCCTCACTATTCTACACATCATCACAGATGTATAAATAACTAAACGGATCACCAAGATGGTTAATTTGCCTGACTTCAACTATTATCTAGTGCAAAAGAAACACCCACCAGGTTTGATAAATAAACAAAACAAACCTCTGCTTTAATAACTGGAAAAACAAATTATTAACTACTACTTTGCAAACTTAAGCTATTTCCCCATTAAAGCCAAAATGCACAAACATTCTTTCACAAATAGGAAGGAATTCTTTGGATCAAGAATCACAAGGTAGAATGATGTGATTTGCTCAGATATTTTTATTAAGGTCTTTAGTGATAGAAGACCCTAGACTCGGAAGCCAGTGGATCTTTGCTTGAGTTACAAGCTCTTAATTTCAGAGTCTTTGAAGTTTTTTCACTCAGAGTCAGAGTGAGAGCGAGAGAGCTGTCTTTGCTTGCCAGTTATTAAACGCAAAGACAGCTACTGCCAGCTTGTCTCAGAAATGTACCAAATCCAATTTCCACAAAAGCTACATGACCCTGCCTAAATCGATAAGTGAACACCACTCAGTTCCATCATCGGCCTTCAAGGTCCAATTAAAAAAAAACACTGACCTGGTACATTTTCTGCAACACAGCAGTGTCCATATTTCAAATTTTCCAGTTCATATGCCAAAAAAAAGAGTCTTTATGGGCTACACTGCCTTAGTATACAATGGGGTGAATATACAGAGCAAGTTATAACTCGATTTACCTTGTTCAATTGTAAACACTTCAAATAGCATTATATTAATGACACATTATGCTACCTCACTTTTGTGGGAAATTTCAATTGAAAACTCCGCTACATTCTATTCAACAGCACAGGACAGCATTTCCTCTGCCTGCAGTCGTCTGGTTTTTGAACTTGCCTTTTTTTTAAAAAAAGGTCAGACTACACGTGCAGTGTCCTTTTACTCTAAAAGCATTTTTCTCTGGAGATAGTGACATTGTAGTAATATCAGTGGACTATTAATCCAGATGCTGGAAGCTTATATTGTGGGGACAGGGTTCTAATATGATGCAGCTGGTGGAATTTGAATACAATTAATAACATCCAGAATGTAAATCGCAGTAATGGAGACTACAAAACTATCACTGACTGTCATCAAAATCCATCCGGTTCATTAACGTCCTTGACAGAATGAAATGCTGTCCACCATAACCCCAGACCCAACAGCAATGTGACTGACTTCTAACTGCCCTTTATAATGGTCTGCGCAGCCACTCAGTCCTAGGGTAATTATGGATGGGCAACAAATGTCATCCTTGCTGATGCCACCCACATCCCATTAATAATTTTTGAGGAAGTGTCCTAATTTTTCAAATTGCATCTTTGATCAGTTTTTGTTTAAATGCCATTTTCTAACCACGTGTGAAAATGGTGAAAGCATCCAGAAAAAAGGCAATAGTTCTGAGAGGACTGAGTGTCTTTGGAACTCCTTGCCACAGAAAGCTATGGGGCAGTGTCCTTGTGTATATTTAAGGCTGAGATAAGTAGATTCTTGATCAGTCGGGAGTCAAGGGCTATGGGGAAAGGGCAGGAAGGTGGATGTGAGGAGTATGAGATCAGCCATGATCCCATTGAATGGCCTACTGCTGCACCTATTCCTTAGGGTTTTAGATACACCTTCATCAATGTTTGAGGTTCTGTAAATAGTTTATGGAGGCTATGCAAACATAAAAGTTAACTGAAATAAATAACTCAGATAAATCATTTTTTTAAAACAGTTTTACAACATGTAGACAGCATTCAAATTAAAGCAGCAGATTACCAAGATTATGCCTGAAATAAATAATTACATATTCACTTTGCCCAAATCAAATTTAAAACCATCAGATTTCAAAACATCTGCTGATCCCAGTGGTAATGTTCAGATATGTCTACTGGGAACCTCCGACCTGACCCTGACAAGTACCCAGTGTCATGGGAGAATCTCCAAATAACAGTCTGCTAGCTGGTGGAATAGCTGTCAACAACCAAGGAAGAGTCAGAAGCTGCACTTGTTGGACATTATAATTTTGATGGATAATTTTAAGATGGCTAATGACCTTCCTCACCCGTAACTAACTCATGAACTGCTAGGGTCACGACCAAAATCATGTTTATTTACTTTAAACTTGCATATCCATGTTTGCACTTGGCTTAAATAGATAATTTTGGTGTATTTACCTTTAAAAATCTTTAATAAAACTATAAAGAGTAATGGTGAAAACATTATCATTTGAAAACAAAAACTAATCAAGAAGCAAAGTTTGTCAGAAAGTTGTTAACCAAAAGCATACAGGAGGTGGCAGTACTGCTCTATTGTAGTTGTTAATAGTATGCTTTCCAAAGTCATAGATTAATTATGTAGGAATGAAAGCAACAATTTCTGACCAAACATGCATGCAACGGGAAGCAGATGTCAAAGTTATAAGCAAAACAGACAAGACCGCTTGGAGTCAGATATTTTAATGCAGCTTCATTTACACTGCAGCAGTTAATCTTTGTCTAATTATGTCCTCTATTAAAACTGTGCGAGTAACTACCAGATAAATACAACAATCTGAATATACATTAATGACACCTGAGAACTCTGATCTAATTTCTTCATTTTAAATAACAATTTGAAAATTCAAAATTGGTCCTACTGGGTCACTTTGATGATGCTAATGGTGCTATTTTTAAAGGAACCAGTCTAGATCCCCAAAGCATCTGATGATTCAAGCAATCAATCCTGCTTAATAAATAAATTGGAATCCTAAAGGATGTACGTTGGATCCTGGATGCATGGTGATCATTACCGGACTTAAACCCAAGGACTGCTGCCTAAACAGACACAGACCCCACCATTACTTTTACTCCCCTATGTCTACGTAGTGTGTTCTTTCGTGACTTGATAGAGAACTAACGGAACCGTTGTCCTAAACCAAATCAGTTCATGTGGTTGTTCTCAGATTAGAATAGCTCCTATTAAGGATGAAACACAAATTCTTGCTTATCAAAATGAATTGGCTGTAACTAAACCAGGTTAAAACAATTAGCTTATTTTATACACTAACTCTATCAAAAACAAAATACACAATTTTAACTTCTCACCAGTGCATTTGAAAGTAGGTAAGCATATTTTTTGCATTATTTATAAACATATACCTACCTTCATGTCATCCAGATTAGAGGGGAGAGTTCCCAACTTCCAGCATGGTGTGTTGTTGTGCCGTGTGACATATGATGATGATGATGATGATGATGAAGATGATGATGATAATGCTGGTGCATAGTTAGCCAGTGTAGTGGATGTGGTTATGCTGCTAGTTGGCTGGTTATCATTACATGACCTGGAATAGAGGTACAATAACTGCTGTTAAATAATAAGCTTGTTATCACATAATCAGCATCAGCCAGACAATAATTCTGAAGCTTTTTCTTTATCTTTGTGTGCCTTCACATTAAACCAATCTACTTGTCGATTCAACATACAGCAATGACGGTTTTTTGTTAAAAAAAAAGTGAAAGTACATTCATTTCTAATGGTATCTGGGGGTTAAAAAGCATGTGAGGATATGACTACATTGGACTTTGCATTGCCAAACTGGGGGAGAATGTCAGAATGTGATCCGTTCACTGGAAAGATTTCACATTTGGAAATCGGGGAAGAACAGGTTTGGGTCTGATGGCTTTACCTCCGTCAACTACATAGCCTGCTGATCCTTACTCTTTAAACTTGTGTATGTATATAGAAGTCGTTATTTGGGTAAAATGCTGTCAAATAAGCCACAATCAGTGTAAGTATATCCCAGCAACAGTGCGCTGCAGTCAGTGTAAATATAACCCCCAACTAGCAACAATGCTACCAGTCTAATGTACACCTGTGAGAAAGTATGCTGCAGGTCCATGCACATCCACATACAGCACCAGCAACAATGTGCTGCAGTCCATGCATCATTAGCCAGAAACAGTATGCTGTAGTCACTATAATTGTAGCTCAGTATAAAGTCGAGCTGAGTAATGACCAGAAGGGTCAAAACGGCAAGAACATTATAGCAAAACAAACATTAGTCTCCCACATGTTAAGAACTGCTTGCATTACTGGGAAAGTCAGACCTGCACAGCCTCTAAGAAGCTATTCATGTCGCAGAGTATATGATAATAGTTTTCAGTTGCAAAGAGAAAATATAAAATTACTTTTATCCTAAAACACAACTCGATTGCTGCAGGTGCGAGTTCAAGATGAAAGAACGGCACATGTAGTGATGTTGGGAGCCAAGTGTAAACTTCAAGGTGAACAGGAAAAGCCTTTGAACATATACCAGTTAGACATTGGAGAAACAAAACAAGGCCAAAATTGTACAATACTTTTAGAGGCATGAAAGGAAATCACCTGGTTTGTGCTACATACTTTGGTGGTGCAGGCAGAATGGCTGGATAATTGTAGTGTTGCTGTTGTTGACTCAGGATCTGCAGCTGGAGGAAAAGCTGCTGTTGTTGCAGAAGCCGGGAGTAGTTTGTATCCATGGGAAGTTCAATTTTCTCATGCTTTTTGTCTGGTGGGATATACTGATGGTACTTCAGCTGCTTCACTCTTGGTTTCAGATCCTTGTTTTTCTTGCTCCGGTTCTTGTCATTTACAGTTTTGGGTTGGCTTTGCTGGTGTAAAATTGATGCAAAAAGACTTCAATTCTAGATCGATGTCCAACCATTCACAAACAATTTCTTGATGTTAACTAGAATATTTATTAGAATGACTGTTCCTGATGTATTTGCCTAGTATTTAAAACACACAGGATGAAATTCCTCCTGTTCATAATTTCAACAAAAAACTTAGAGTCATAGGGCCATACAACATGGAAAGAGACCCTTCGGTCCAACTCATCCGCACCAATCAGACATTTCAATCTGACCTAGTCCCATTTGCCAGCATTTGGTCCATCTCCCTCTAAATCCTTCCTATTCATATATCCAACCAGATGCCTTTTAAATGCTGTAATTGTACCCACCTCCACCACTTCCTCTGGCAGCTTGTTCCACACATGCACGACTCTGCATGAAAACGTTACCTCTCAGGTCTTTTTTACTTCTTTCCCCTCCCACCTTAAACCTATGGCCTCTAGTTTTGGATGCCCCCACCCTCTGAAAAAGACCTTGGGCTATTCACCCGATCAAGGCCCCTCATGATTTAAAAAAGCCACAGTCTATCCAGCCTCTACATATAACTCAAACCCTCCAGTCCTGGCAACACCCTCGTAAATCTTTTCTGCACCCTCTCAAGTTGAACAACGTCCTTCCTATAGAAGGGTGACCAGAATTGTACTCAATTTGATGGACAATTAAATGGGAACTACCTTTTTGTACCGTTACCATCATTTGAAGTAAAATTATCAACAGGAGAAATTTAACCCCCACACTGTCACGGTAGGAAAGCTAATGATTAAAAAGCATTGGTCTTTTCAAGGAGAGTATTCATTTGTAGGGCATTAGTGCACACACTTAAAATAGGACTCCTACATTGAGAAAAATTCATCAAGTTTCTGTAGCTTTATCTTATGAAATAGTGTAACCATACTTGCTAGCTGTGGATCATTGAAAACATATACCAAAATTGTACAATAAATGAAGTCTGCACAGTTGTGTCCCTGAACTTACTTTATAGGATTGAGATCATTTCAGAGTTAGAGCTTTTTCTTGTATCTCTGCTGAACTGTGCTTGTGGGATTGGTGTCTTCCCACTATTAATCCTCAAAGTGCAGTATAATGCTAAGTGTGCTGGCTTAATCTCCAGTCTACCAATTTAGGAGACTGCTTCCAGAAGATGGTATTTTATCAATTATTCTGTACATCACTATAACTGCAGCTGGCACAAGTTTCAGTTTTAAAATTTATTTCTGCTATCTGGTCTACTGTACCATTGCACCATTTTCCTGTGATTGAAAATAATTCACTGGACAGATAGGAAAAAATAACGCAGCTTCAGAATATTAGGTAGCATACTTCATAAAATTTGCATTAAATAACATTTTTATTGCTATAAAACAGCCCAAAGAGCTTCACAGATATCAAAAGACATTTAGAAGATATTTAGACAAGTACATGAATAAGAAATGTTTGGAGGGATATGGGCCAAATGCAGGCAGGTAGGACTAGTTTAGTTTGGAATTATGGTTGACATGGATTGGTTGGATTGAAGGATCTGGTTCTGTGCTGTATAACTTTGTGACCCACATAAGGAAACAATGGATGGATGTAGGTGGGAGGTATTCAATTCTTACATTGCGCAGCCCAATCACTCAACATTCCCAACACAAATGAAGCTGGTTCTATACTACCAGAGAACGTACAAGGGTTTGACTGTATAAAAGAGACGTACCTTAATTAGGGTTGGAGCAGGTTTAGTTGAGACAGCTGTACTTGTGGTCAGTGTCGTACTGACTGAACGTATACCTTGCTGATCAGACAGAGGGGCAGGTTTGAGGAAGTCAGGCATTGGCTGTGGGTGATACTAGAAAAGGGAAAATCAAAGTCAGATTCAACAATACAAAAGAGGACGACGGAAACATCAAGCAGTCACCATGTACCAATTAAAATTATTCTGGGTGGTATTAAATAAATGGAAAGTTAAAGCATTCTTTCATTCGACTGCCACAGTTTAAAGTTATTTTTGGAAAGGAACTTCTTTTAATATAGTAACAAAATAAAGACACAATCTAGACACATTGCTTCGGCAGCTTGCCAGATGACGATTCTTCTGTCAAAATCTGTACAGTTAAATATGCATTTTCTTTATGTTAAGTTAATACCAACATTATAAAGTGGAGGTTGCCCCCCCGCTCCAAACTCTGGAGAATTAAAACCAAAACACCCAAAGAGAATCTGTAAAAGAATTGTAAAAAGTGGAGTAAACTGCCTTTCAGCAACTTTTAGTGATTAAATAAAATAAATCTCTGACACTTAATTTACAATCAACAAGTAACAATTTATTTATCTAACTCTAACATTAAACAAATTAAATACACTATTAACAAACCAAATAAACTCCTTCTAGCTACTAACTGTTCCAGAATAAATCAAGTTTCTGATGGTATGCTGTTCTGATAGATACAATTCCCACTTATATAAACCAATTTAATAAAAAAAAACTTAAAACTTTGTCTCTTGAAATTACAGCTAGGATACGTCTTCCAGAACGTTCGGTGGCTTCTCTACTGTTCTTCAGTAGGGAACATGTTTCTCCATCAAATTCTTGAGTCAGGAACATTTGCTGAGAGTGCCACTGTTCCTTTAGTCAGATGATGGTTACTTTGAGAGCTTAAAGAATTCTGTCAAAGCCAGTGATTTTCTCTTTAGGGCTGCTGGTTGTTAACTCTAAGATAGCTGTTGCTGTCACCTGCTTTTCAAATATACCCTCTTCTTTTATACCCTTGATGACCTAGCAATTTTGTACAATAGGATTGGTCATAGGCTGTCAAAGCCATCAGATTTAAATTAAATTGTTTTTTAGTCTCTAAGTGCCTGGTTTAAATCAAATGGCTGATATTCAAACTGGTTGCCTTAATAACAAAACAAGACTACTGCCTGGGTTGCTAACCCTACGGCCTTTTGACACAAATGTTTCAATTTCAGGAATTCTCTGTGCCTGCTGCTACTTGCAGGCATTTTTTTTACACTCCAAGCCTAGAAAAGGCACATCATCTTTTAAAGGAACCACGCACTCTTCCCCTATCATTTTAAAAACAAATTCTAACATCTTATCTTCCAATCCACAAGTACTCTACCCAACTTTGTAACAGAAAGCTCCAAGTCACTTATGATTTTCTCATTCCAGCTCATCTGCCACGGTGCAAACTTTTAAAATGCTTTCAAAGAGACTGATTCAATACAATTTTAAAACATTCTGGCACTGTTTCAAAATTATTCTCATTATGACAAACTTGCATGCAAATTCAATTTTCTCCCTCATGAAAGTGCTCTAAAAACAAAATACATGTGCAATATTACATTTTCCTTTAAACTAAAAATGACTTAACAAACTGCTGAATGTTCCCCAGCGCTGCCCCAGGATCAGTGCTCCCCAGTGAAAACCCACTTGCAAAAGAGTTACATTTTGGAAGACACCCAGATGCACTCTTATCCAACTTAACTTAAAATGGATGTTTTGATATGGAGTTGATAAATTTACTCCGATAGTTAAACCCAACTTAGTCAGCACAACAGTCAATCATATGAAGCATTCCTAAACTAAGTCATGGAACACTCAGAATTGAAGAGCAACTGTGTACAAAGCTACAGCAACCAATCTCCCCATTTACGACATGAAGGACTGTAAAATCATAAAGTAATGCTTTGTCAGTAACAATTACTAATATCTGCATTTTAACTTGTTTGGAAGCCTCTAACCTCTCCCATTGTCTTTTGGCTTCCTCAGGCTACAAACTCTGACTGAAATGACAATCAGGTAGCGATTTCCTCCCAAGCCATAGCTGGCACTCCTACAAGCAAATCATTAGGAGGTGCACGAAAGTTGTCCATGGAAACTCGAGCTTCTGATTTTTGTTTGCTTATGGGACTACCCAAAATCAGGAACTCAGTGGATTAAACTTAGAGGCTATCACTCAGTTACACAGTATGATGATATTCCTTTGTGGTTACAACTGTTGTCCATGCATAGAATCTGCAATTTAAATTTATGCCCAGACATAGGATATCATCCTTGAACATTTCCCATGATGTTTATAGGAATATGTTTTCCATTCTTGGTAACGTACAATCGTGTAGGTCTATGCAATTTATCAAAACACTTTTACTATTACAAACCTCAGGCAGAACTCTTACATTTTGGCATTGTAGGTATACTAGCTCTCCAACTGAGCATCTGTTACTTTGGAAGCAGCAGATTTACTGCTGCAGCAATAAAACTAGCTCTAATAAAAAGGATAAAGTGCAGATCTGTAGTGCAGTAGTTGCCAATTGTGCTTACCATTCCTTAAAGAAAAAAACTAAAATCACTGTTGAATCAGGCGCCTGCACCATCACAAATCTGGCAAGTGGAAAGACTGAATTCAAATACTAATATGAAACAGATGACAGGACATCAGGCAAGGCAGCCACTTCTAAGAGCTTATGTTCTGCTTCAATCAAAACTACAATTCAGAAACTTGTGATTTTACCTAAATGGTCACAGAATTCCAGAGCAACTCTTAATTACATGCAGAATTTAACATGTTTGTTATTTCCCAGTAGAAAGAGTCATGCAGCAACAAACAGACCCTTCAGTCCAATTAGTCCATGCTGACCAGTTCCTCAAACTAAACTAGTCTCACTTGCCTGTGTTTGGCCCATATCCTTCTAAACCTTTCCTATTCATGTACCTATCCAAACGTTTTTTTAAATGTTGTAACTTTACCTGCATCTACCACTTCCGCTGGCAGTTCATTCCACAAACGAACCACCCTCCATATGGAAGAAGTTGCCCCTTGGGTCTCTTTGATCAGGTCCTAGAGATTTATCCACCTGTATGTTTTTTCAAGATCTCCAGCACTTCCTCTTCTGTAATGTAGACTGTTTTCAAGACATCAATATTTTCCCCGAGTTCCCTAGCCTCCATTTCTTCCTCCACAGTAAAAACTGACGTGAAATATTCATTTAGTACCTCTCCCACCTCCTGTGGTTCCACACATAGACGACCTCGTTGATCTTTAAGGGGCCCTATTCACTCCCTAGTTGTTCTTTTGCTCTTAATGCACTTTTAGAATCTCTTTGGATCATCCTTAATCTTATCTATCAAGGCTCTCATATCCCCTTTTGCTCCCTGATTTCCCTCTTAAGAATGCCCCTACATCCCTTATGAGTACAGGAAAGGCCCTTCAGTCCATAGAGTCTGCATCGACATAACTACCGCTAAAGGCACATTAATCCCAATTTCCTGCATTTGTCCCATATCCTTGAATGTTATGATATTTGAAGTGCTCATCCAAATTTTTCTCAAAGGTTGTAAGGTTTCTGGCCTCTACTACCTTCCCAGGCAGTGCATTCCACACTTCCACCACCCGCTGACTGAAAATGTATTTTTCCCAAATCCCCTTGAATCCCTTACGCCCTACCCTAAAACTATGCCCTCTCATGAGTGACCCCTCAATCAAGGGTAACAGTTGCTCTTTATTTACTCTGTCCATACCCCTCAATCTTATACACTTCAATCATATCCCCTTCGGTCTTCTCTGCTCCAAAGAGAACAACTCAAGTCCATCCAGTGTTTCCTTATAGCTCAATTTCTCCATCCCAGGCAACATCCTGGTGAACGACCTCTGTACCTTCTCTAGTGCAATCACATCCCTCCTGTAGTGAGTTTATGGCAATTCTCCATTGTTTAAAGCACGTTTACAGAATCACAATATTCAATGATCATTAAATCTGATTATATTAGTTAGGCTACTGAAAGAAACATATTCTGAGTTGGAAAGACTTCTCAGAAGTTGCAAAATTTCTTCCATTGGGAGCAGTTCTGCTGGTGCTCTGAATTCGGCTCATCTGCAAAACAGGACAAATTTTTGTGCACTGGAAGATTAACAATTTTTAGTTCCATGTGTATTACAAAGTTAAGAGATTCCGCACAATCACACCCCTCAATTCCATTAAAGCATAGACGTGTAATAAAGTGAGTGAAGTAGTGGGCCCAGAGGGTGCTCATTCACTGCATTATTAATAATAGAGCAAATTGTATCCTGAAACATCAAAGCGATCTAGTGACTGTATGCAGCTTGTCTACACTATAGTGGCCCTATATTTGACTGGGATCTCTGGGCAATTAAAGTGCATTAATCCGTCCCTGACTGGAGATCTAATCTCTGATCTAAACTATGTAGCCCTGCCACATCCAGTCATGAATGCTATTGGATAATTAAACAACTCACTGAAGGAAGAGCCTCCACTAACATGACAGTGGAGGCCAGCTCATCAGTGCAAATGATAAGGCTGAAGCATTCATGACAACCTTCTGCTAGGGGTTGCCAAACAGATCATCTATTTTGGTCTCCTCCAGAGGTCCCCCTCATCAGGGCCAGTTTTCAGCCAATTTCATCCTTGTCTAAGCTCCATGTGATATCAAGAAATGGTTGGAGGCACCAGATATTGCAAAGGCTGTGGGGCCTGACAACATTCCAGCAATAGTACAGATGTCTTGTGCTCCAAAACTTGCCACACCTCTAGCCAAGCTGTTCCAGTACAGCTACAACACAGGCATCCACTTAAAAATGTGGAAAATTGACCAGGCATGTACTGTACAGAAAAAGCAGCTTGGAAGGTGTCATCAACAGTGCTATTAAGCAGTACTTGCTTAGCAATAACCTGCTCACTCATACTCCGTTCGGGTTCCACCAGGGCCATTCAGCTCCTGAGCTCATTACAACCTCGGTTCAAATGTAGACAAAAGAGCTGAATTCCAGGGGTAAAGCGAAGTGTCATCAAGGCTGCATTTGACAGAGTATGGCATCATGGAGCCCTAGC